AAGTCTCTCTTTCACTTCTTCATACTACTTTGTCTAAATGTTTAAACTGAGCTTCCTACCAAGTGAAAACAACCCTCTTCTGAGGCTAATGGATTCCTCACTACTCCAGGGATCATCAGTCTTCTCACTTGCCTCTGATCCTGATCCATGATGAACCTCCTGCACATGATGGAACCTACTGGACACAGCAATCCCAGGATCTGCCACTGCTTTGCTGTCTGCAGACCTTTGTGTTTAACTTTAGTACATCTTACAGTAAACCAGGTAAATCTCCTAATCTGTTCTGAAGATGCCCCCTACCTGCTTCTAGTGGGCTCACAATTTCTCTCTTACACAATAATAAATGTCACTAGATGTATTGTAAGTTTTAAGAATCATTCCATCTCCAGTTGTAACTAAATTATTTTTATTCAAAGTATGGTGATGCGCGGTGAAATATATCTAAATAGAAATGCAAAATAATTATACATAGAGAGGAAGAAAAGTGTTTGTTGCCCACAAATGAAATCTAACCTTATGAAAGGGTGGTTAAATTAAACTTAATACCCCTGCTCTGGGACATACTAAATGTTTCTAACATCATTTCATTGGACAAAAATAATTAAGCAAATTAACTGACAAGAACATCAGCCTTACAATCATAAGCTGCCTCCATTTGTATGTGTAAAGCAAAGGCATCTCAGGTGACAGTTCTTGGGTCCTCCAGGCACACCTCAGCAAAGACAAACAACTCTTCAACACTGCAACCTGACCTCTGTCTCCTCGCCAACAAAACCAGGCCGACTGCTATCACACGTCTAAATATCTCATTATTAATTATATTTTTACCTGTTAACTGCTGTTTCTGTTTCATATATATGCCCATTCATTTACACAAATGTCAAATGTATTTTGATATATTTGCATAGATACAGAAACATTCATACTTAGCATTGCAGAACTGTTTACCTTTTTAAGTCATCTTCAAAGAAACGCCTTCTGAAGACATTCTCATTCTGAATTAGTTCAGAACACCAGTGGTAAAAAAGTATGCTGGATTTTTTTTACTGAACATTATACATTTTAATTAAATAAATTAAATGTTTGGTCCCTGTAATAATAACAGTAATGCTGAGTACCTTTAGACAAACAAAAAAATCATATACAATGACTACATACATTAGAGTATGACATGACTCCATACAAATACACATTTACATACATATAGTTAATTAGTTTACCCTTTTTTATTTACTTCTACTTTGTCTGGACCGATGATTTGAATTGGTACTAACCGCTCTAAGTAGCACTATATCCTTTATGACACATTTGCTAAAGATCTGTCACAGAAAGGCACATCACTGTATCCATAAGTCTGTATGTACTGTAAACGTTTAAATACATTAAGCATTACAGGTAAGCTTTCACATTAATTCAAAAATAGAATGGCAATGGATATCATTTAAAAAAATGAGGAAAATGCACATTTGTTATTAAACTACTTCACTGACGTCTTTAGTAACAATCACATCACAGCTATCACTTATTTGAAAGTTTTAAAGAAGGGGAAGTCCATGTATTGAATTAACTAAAATAACAAGTATATTTTCATGATGTTATATACCCGAGGTTTCTTAAAGAACTCAGTGAGAACATTTCCCCTCATCACCAAGATATGACATCCTCAAGAGTTCCACAGGAACATTGAAAGGAAAGATACAAATTTTCCAATGCTGTAAAGAAATCAATACATGATTAAACACTGGGTATTAAGAAATATACAGTATGTCAGTAGTGTGGGACTCTACAGATTTACTAATTACTACAGTAATTATGACACATTTTATGAAAAAGAACTTAATATACTGTATACCTCTGATAAAAAAAATGCATTTTAGGACATGAATAAATTTGAAGGAAAAATGTATGTATATGGATTGTTTTATGCCAAAAAATGGAGAACTATAAACCACAATTAATTATTGTAAGCAGTGTCATCCATAATGTCAGAACATTTAACTCATTAATGGAAGTCTTTACGTTTCCACGACTGCTGGGACAAGAATCAAGCAGGCGTTGTGCATGATGTGGCCTGCCTCCTTGCGGAATTCCTTTTTCACCCCCAGGTACCTAAAACACTGACAACATCTTTGAACCATAAATTTAAGAGCTGCACAATCTGCCCTTCCACACTACATTGCCACTGATACCTTTCAAGTACAACACAAATGTAAACAGTAACAAGAGCTATGAGCTTTGGTGGCCTGTAGCTATTTGTAAACCCAGTGTCTGCACCTGACAGTATAGTCCAGTGAAAGTCCAGATTCATTTACTTGACTCACAGCTATTCAAAAGAGTTGCAGTATTCTTGAGGGAGTTTCTATTTTTGTCTTTTACCTTTGTTTTATGCTTGTGACAAAAGGCTGTACTTCTGTTGAGCAGCAATATAGAATAAAACAAGTCATAATCTGGATCTTTTCCCTTTCTCTCTCGTATCTGAAAAAAAATATCCCTTTGCCAAAAACATTTTCAAGAAACATCTCCGGGAATGCGCCCATTTTAAGAACCATTTAATTCATAACTCAGTCAAGACGGACTCAGGCCAAGTTGGCAAATGCTGCCTGGACAACAAAGAGGATTTTCATCATCATCATTACAATAATAAGAATGCTGTAACAAGCATGCCCTGTGGCACAGTACCAAGGTTGTCATGATCTAAGGTGGTATGGATGAAATCCAGAGAATGCTTTTGTCTTCAGCAGGAATGACAGAATGAATTAAAGGTTGCAAACAGAGCCCACACTGCTCACATATGGAATTGACAGTTTTAGGTTTCTGTTGGTCTGTTGGTCCTAGTTGACTAGTTCCCCTATAAGTCATAGCAGTACCACTGAACTGCACATCTTTGCATTTTAAAATGAATAAGGACTTGCCAGTGTATCTGCTGTGTAAAGATTATGTGAACATTAAAATACTGCTTAGCTATTTTACAGGATCATAACCTGGAAACGGATATACAAGTAGAAAACAGAAGGCAATCTGTGGTCACAGCTGAGACTTTGGGCATAGCAGAGAGTCTTTCTGTGCTGCTACTAGCTCTATGAAAATAGAGGCTCACTTTTGGCCAATACAGGCAAAACTTAGATGTACATAAGACTCAAAAAACTTTGCAAAATTATGTAATTGTGCAAAAAACATACTCTTGGAAGGAAACAAACATCTAAATATAAAAATAAATCAGGACTCTGAAGACAAAAATAGGCTCGGAAGAGAAAGGGTATGTGGGAATTGTAAAGTGCAAATACATATAACATTTGCTCAAACAGCTCTAAAATAAAGCTTCTTGAAACACGGCAGGGCATTGAGTTCAACAACATAGCTTGAAAGTACCGTATGCTGCAAACACATACAGTACAAACCTTTGTGTAAAAAAAGTATAAGTTCTTATCTGAACTTTCAGCATGTGTCCTCTGGTTTATATTTTGCTTTTAATTCTGAATAAATGAGACTCAGTGCCTTTACGGATTTTAATTATTTGAATCAGTCAGGTTCTCCTGTCATCATCCAGACTAAAAAGGTTCAGTTATTTTAACCTGTCAGTGGAGGACATTCCTTTGAGTACAGAAATGTATCTGATTGCTTTTTTCTGCACTGATCCCTGAGTAGCAATCTTTTTTGAACCAGGCTGACAAAATTTGGAAAAAAAAATATTTTAGGTTTCCAAACGTGTATTGCACAATTTAACATTTTAATCTAAACATAAACATACATTTCTTTAATTTCAATTATAAAATTTTTACAGAAATGTAAGATAAGTGCAGTGCATATGCATGATTTAAAATATAAGATGCTGTTTTAAACAGTTGTACTTGAAACTCTTCATTTTAATGCTGAAATCCTGCCCTGTATCTTTCAACAAGGAGCTACAATAATACTTTTTTTAATTAAATTTAAATGCCTTTTTTATATATAAGAAGACCACAAATTCAGATCAATCTGAATCTTGTATTAAACAAGACCATTCTATGTAATGAACACCAGTTGCCCTTAGAAATTAACAAAGTCCAAGTCTGGTTTGGATTATGGGTTTAAGTTCTGAGTATTTTTCTTGAGACTCTTAAAAATTATATAAGAAACTTTACCCCTTCTTGAACTCAAAATCAAAAGAATTACAATGAATTTACACATATTATCAATCTTTCAGTTACAGATAAATGCTACAAGTCATGTGTATGGCAGTGTGTAAATAATTCACAGTTGGATGGAAAAATAATAGAGTACTTACTGAATCCTAGGCTTTCAGAAAGGTTTTGTATACGCTTGGAAAATATTATCTAAGAAATATACAAAATGTAGTTTAAAGCAAATGTTTATTTGGAATTGTTTTATTTAGAATTTGAAGAGAATGTGCACATTTGTATCCATAACAACACAGCAATCCGAGAATTAAAGTTAATTTGTTCAGCATTATCTTTTAAATTAGTCAGCTTCATATAACAACAAGGGGGTGGTGGGGACTGAGTCATTACAAAAAGTATGATTGTAAAAATGTTGTTTTTTACTGTATTTACTACATAGTACCTATTCAGAAGCATTTCATATCAATGTCATTGAATCCAATGAAGAACAAACTAACGTAAAAATAAGACTAAATACCAAATCTTCTTATCCTTATGGTCATATATCAATTTTATAAAAATAACAACAATAAATGATGTTACTCAAAGTAGTGAAACTGAACAAGTACTTCATGTTAAGATATGTTGATATTCAGTATGACTAAAAAAACCCAACATATTTTAAAGAGAACACAATTAAGCAAAACACTCATTAAAATTACTCAAATTAAAATATTTGAAACTCTGACATATTACCAAATGATATTTTAAAAACATTTGTAATGAAATGAGAGTTGTGGTGTCCAGTATTAAGAATACAAATATACAGAAAGTACTATTCATGTAACACACATTTTTAACATTAACATAACATTTTAAAATGAATAGATATAAACTAAATTAATTAATAAACTGAAGGAACCTGATCCAAGATAATACACATCTCCTTAATACATTTAATAAAAACTCTCATGGTTCACAGATGCTCTGTATGACTTTAGAAACCAGTTCCTCTTTCTTGTCCCTTGACTTCACAGAAATGCCATTCATCTTAAGCCAGGCTTGCAGAGTAGCTGAATTAAGCTTCGAGAGCTGCAGAGACAGGCAAGCATGTCAAGCTGAACTTACAGTAGTAGAAAACACCTCTCTGACCAGATAATGGGTAATGCCCCCATATCCAGGTGGAAATTTATGGGGAAAGGAGGGATAGTACTGTATTTTTGTCAAACACATAAGGACATGCTTTTTTTTTACCTGAATCAATGCAATGTCAAAGACTTTGCTATGCACTCAAAGAAATGTACAGAGAAATCTCCTTAGAAGTAATGACATTTCTTAAAGTTATTCAGTTTTCTTACTGTAGTCTTTCCTATTTCATAAAATATACAGAAACGTAAATAGAAACACAAAACCTTTCGCTGCAATTTAAAATGAAAATTGTGATGCTGTTGCAGGCAAGTGAGCTAGAAAATGCTTCAAGAAAAAAACACAGAACTCTAATTGTTGTGGTGATATAATCAAATTCAAGTGTTTTTTTTAAACAAACTAGAATATAAAAAGGATCTGAAATGATCAAATGTAGCATTATTATATACAACTGATCCTGGGGTACCATTGTATCTGCTTTTTTCCTTAATATGTCCAGCTAATCTCTAAACGTCCATTGCTCACTACCTATAATTGATCTACTTGTTGTTTAGGAACAAGTAATAGGTTTATTCCATGCTGAAAAAAAGAAGAGAGAAAACACAACGTTTCGGCCGTGGAGCCTTCTTCAGGTGTCAAGGCATGGAATAAACCTATTAATTGTTCCTTTGCAGCCTACGCATGCTGACGCAGCTCCCCACCTGAACTACTTGTTGTTTCGATTTTTGCTTTGTTTCTGCCCTCATACCCAAGTTTCAAAAACGTCCAACATACTGCAGCATTCTTTTCAGTGACCTGAGCATAATAATCATTCTCATAACAACAATGCAAACTGTCCTACAATAAGCATTTTGTTTTTCTTCTGCAGAGGTCCAAAGCTATAGATGCAATAGCTTACTTGAACAGTAAGCAATTTTAATTCGACAACAATAAAACTGTAAATATTCTGCTGTCATTATGCCTTAATACTTTTGGCTCCAGTCTACCACCTATGAAATCAGCAGACATTCCTGTGCAATGAATCAGGGAATATTCTTGTTTTATAAATAAAGCTAAGAAGATTCATATTGTTTTGCTTTTTTAACAATGAGCACAATCATTGTGGGAGGTCTTTCAAAAGCTTGCTTAAACAAAGGCAACTATGGTAGTAAAGGAGTAATTTTGTACCTGATTGCTCCTTGCATACTCTTCCACATCCACATCCTGGATAATGGGTCTTGATTTCTTACTTGTATACTCCAGCCCATCTCCCTGTTTAACAGTAAATTGTAATATGTAACCACTTCAAACAAACAACATTATTCATACACAAAAAGACTTCACCACAAACTATAATTCAATGTGCATCAAAGCACTGCTACAAAATTCAGGCTCCCCATATCTAAAGCACTTGTTCTCCTTCAGCATTCAAAAAGATATGCTGTATAAGTTTAAAGGAAACGGGAATGTGTAGTTTAATTTTTAAAAGAAAAAAGGACTACCTGCATTTATTCTTTGTTTCTTTTCAGAAGACATTTGCCTGCTGGTTCAATGTTCAGTGACATTACCATACCAAGATTGATCATTAAATTAATTATCTAAAAGAGCTGTGGATTATTAAAATGCCTGATTGTTATAACATCTCCGACTAAAACAATTGAAAAAGCAATTGTCCTACAAGAGAAGGAAGGATCTAGAATTGCAATTAGCCTGTTTTGCAAAGCATATACTGTATGTTTACAGCATACATCAGATGTATTAAAAATGTATTAAATTAACACAGCATGACATCAAAATCAAACTACAATCCTTACGTTAGGAATATGTTTGTAAAATGCTCGTTACTACAGTAAAGCACAGCTCCATCAATATCCACCTTTACGAAACTATAAGGCAATAATATCCAGCAGAATACAGTATGTAGTATTCCATGCATGAGGTATGCCATAAACCTAAAACTGTCACTCATTGGTGTTATTATATAATTATTCTCAAGGCAGTTTAAACATGGGAATAATAAAATCCATTTGGAAAGTCAAAACCTAAACAGTAATGTTTACAGCTGTAATAAACGTATCACAACAGAAGGAATAATGACACTATTTGACTTTACTGAACCTGATGAACTTTACAATACATAAGTATTTTTGTATAATTGGTCTCATGTAGCTACCTCTTTTTGAACTTTGTTTTCTGATTTCTTAGTTCCTTGTGCTGTCTTACTTTAATATAATAATGTGTTAGTTTTACGCTTTCTAAACAAAACAGAAAGAATAACACAACGTGTCTTATAAATTTACAATGTGTTAACAACCTTTCATTTGTCAGATATTTGAGATTTATAAAATCTTATTACCTGATTGTACTTTAATGCTTCTATGATATATTTATTAGAACTGTGCCTGTACTTGACAGTTAGCATTTGTACAGCTTTTACATTTCCATAATATTTGAAAGGTACAATATACATTCACTTTGAAGAACTCAAATATGGGCAAAGGATCAAAGTCAGTGTGCCAATTTTGTATTTATGTTTTCAATAGTCTAGCCACTTTAAAAAGGAGAACCAACCTCTTATATTCCTGGAACACTTAAAGTGTAAATATTACTGCTACTGTTCCTGGGGCATTACTATTATTAGATGCTTTCTGAACAAAAGTAGGTTTGTTGTTGTTTCAGATTCCTATAGATGAGATAGAATTCCATATTTAGTTTTCTAGAACTTTTTTTCATTGAGTTGTCTCTTTGATACTTCTGAAATTCTCGGCCTTGGAATAGATTTTTTTAAAGATGGAATCAACAGTTATTCTTCAATTTCAAAATTCCAATCTTCAATCAAGAATAATTTATCAATTTGGCTTCACTGCTACAATCTCTGCATCAGAATATACTAATTGTGGAAATAATTCCCAAAATTTAATCTAATCTGTTTACCTCTCTCTATATAAAACAGTCTGCTGCAGTGCTTCGGTGACATAACCACAATAGCTTAAATTATTAATCATTATGGAAAAGACAGACTGTTTGAAAAGATATCCCATATGTTTAAACATTCAGAAAGGGTTTATGCCCCTTAAAATAATTCCACTGCTCTATAAATCTATCAAAACACACCTGAGAAATTATTTGGTTCCTTTTTTGCTTCTGTGCAAGGCCTGTGCAGGCTTGGATTGCCAGGTCTGCTTTGCTGTGCTGGAATCCACTTTGCATGAACATAGTTGCTACCTAATAAAAACAGTTAATGCACAAAGGTTAAGAAAATAAACAGCATCAACTCCATCATAAATTAAATGCTTTAGTGGTGGAGTATTAAAAGTTATACCCATAAAATTACCTCATCTCCCCATGTTTTTGAACTACCAGCTAATCACTAGGGCAAATATTTACATAGGGCAAAAACCATATGTTTTCTTTAAATGAGTGCAGATGTTTGGCTTTAGTAAATGAAAATATTAGAAAAAATCCTAAGCATATTCTATAATCAATGGTTTACCATAAGAATGATTCTAGTAAAAAATATTTTTTAAAGCTGCAGAACATTATAAAGCATTTTTTTCACAAGGCAAGCTTTTCTTTCAGATATCTCCACAATGTTTTTTTGTGTTTCTGTAAAATCCACCTAAAAACTAGGTGGATTTAGTTCTCATTCATAAGTTACATCACTGCCTGGCTAGTTACAAACAATTCGAGATTATAAAACTGATAAATGAGAAGGTGTTCTGTGCCAAACTCATGAGTTTAAGAACAGTCTGTTTTGTTTCATTCAATATGTAGCCCAGCTGTATGCTTGTACAGGTTGACTTTGCAGAGGCTGTGGCTTGCCATAACCAGACCAGTGTCAGTTAAGCCAGTGGCATTCCTACAAAAAGCCCATACAAGACCTGAAGCCAACAGTAGCAGTGTACCCACACAAAAGAGATTATACTGACAAGCACTCATCCTTATAATATATACACTATATACTGTTCTATTTACTTTTTAAGCACATTCATTTGTATTCATGTCTTAAAAAATTATGGTCTTTGTAAAACTAGGTACAGTTGCCAGGAATGTCTTTCAAGAACATTAAAGGGGATTCATTCATTTTCTCTGTACTGTTGATTCTGAAAAAAGGAAAGAAGGTACAAAACCATGGTGTATTGATTTCGGTAAACAGCTTGTCTTGGCTTTAACAGACGCTTACTACTTGTATATAATTGGTTAAGGTGCCTCTATTTATTTAATTTGTTTGATTTACAGGAGTATTTTTTACAGGACTTTTATTTGTTCAATTTTTTTGCTTTCCTTCTCTAACTGCTTGATTGAAATTGCTCACACAGAAGCTTTCTGTTAGAAGTCCTTATTTTGTAAGCATTATCTGGTTTGAGAGTGTTTCTCTCAGAGTACTTGTATGTTTGTTTTATTCCTTCCAACTTTGTATGATTCACTGGGATTCTGAAACAACTATTGATCAAACGGTGATATAGAGCAAAGGCTATGACCCACAAGTTAAAAGTGGATTGTCCAATTAAGAACTAAAGTCATTTCCCTGTGACAGAAACAGAGAAATAACTATTTCAACCTCACCACTGTTTTATAAATAAATGTAAATCTAAAGGAAGAATTACAATGTTTCAGAGATAATACTGGGAAACCTTTAAGACCATGAACCTTAAATAGATTAAGTCTAGCATGAATATTACAGCGAGGTGTTTTTCAAAGAAGACACTGACAATAAGCTGAGGAAATAAAGTCCTACATTAAATAATATTAGCATAGCAGAGGTATATGCATTAAAGATGCAAAAAGTATAAAGTAAATTTCCTGGGACCAGTGGTACTGTATTCTACCTACTGTACTGTACATAAGGAAATGAGATGTTATTAATCCAACAGTCACTCATAACATGTGTGGTAAGGTAATGAACCCTATAGACCAAGTAGTTTGTAGTTCCATTTATTATTATTTTTTGATTAATTTGAGTTCTTTAACTGGGGAGTTCTCTAGTAGTGAAAATTAGGACGTGATTAATCTGCTTCTGGAAAGAATTGTATTACTATTTAAAACATAAACCTTACTATTTGAAAAGGACCAGAATCCTACTCTTCTTTTCTCCAACTTTATTAGAGTTTCCCTCTAAACTCTTAGTGTTTGTTTTGTTGCCTCTTCTTAAAACAAACACCCTACAGATACGTCTGCTCTTGTAGTGAGGCAGTGTTTGAGACTAAGACTGAACTAACATTTGAATGAATATTACAATATTAAATGGGATCCTGTAATGTTTTATGGCACAAGTGGGGTTTTTTTCTGTTAAAGTCTACATACAGACTGAATCAATTTCTTTATCCATTGGCTCAGATTTCATGCTTTATTTAGGCAAGGGACAACTGTTAGATTTCTTTAAATCTTCCTGTGTTTAAGGCTGAGAAATAATTAGGTAATTAGACTCTGAGGGTGCTCTTGAGCTCATGTGGACTCCACTACTCTGGGGTAATTCTCACTGACTGGAAAATTGCTAGTGTAGCACCCATCCATGAAAAGCATGACAAAAGAAGAGCCAAAAGAAAGTACAGACCAGTATGTCTTTCCTATACAATAACTAGAACTAAACTAGAGAAGCATCTATATGGAATTATATAATTTTTAGATGATACTCAACACGGATTTAATAATGTAACGCTTACGGCCGACAGGCACTGTGTAAGAGCCGGCGTACCAGAGAAGGTGACGTCACCGCCCTTCCCTGTGATAGCAGGACTACGGCTACTGGGCTGTAGAGAGATCTCTCTTTGGCTCACTGGGCTGGGTCGCTGCAGAGTGATGCAGGAGTCCCAGGTTTGAGCCCCCGATGGTGGGGGGCTGACCTAATGCGGCAAGGGTGCCCACCTGAGCCCCCGTTGCGTTACATTGGTGTCAGCAGTGGGATGGGATAGCCCTTCGCCAGGGATGGCGATTTGAGCGGGGAAGAGTGTAACGCTTACGGCCGACAGGTACTGTGTTAGAGCCGGCGTACCAGAGCAGGTGATGTCACCGCCCTTCCCTGTGATAGCAGGACCATAGCCACTGGGCTGTGGAGAGATCTCTCTTTGGCTCACCAGGCTGGGTCGCTGCAGAGTGACGTGGGAGTCCCGGGTTTGAGCCCCCGACAGGGGGGGGGGCTACCTAATGCGGCAAGGGCGCCCGCCTGAGCCCCCGTTGCGTTACAATAATATTATGACTTGTTTACCTATTTTTTTAGTTATTTGAACTACAGGCAGCATATGGTATATTATATTAAGATGCTAATCTTCACACATTGCATTCATCTTCTAGAGATCGTTAAGAAGCAATTAGAAAACCAAATAATGTTGATTTGATTTAAGTGTTTAAAATTCTCAGTCGTTGACAACGTAAAACCACTAGATTTTTTCAGAATCAAAAATGAAACATGAACCAGAGTCCACAGATGGAAATTACAATTAAATTAAAGCTAGGAACATGAGGTACTATCAAGCAAATAAAGTTAGATGGGTTTAATCATTCTTAAATAACTTTTTGTCTCTGATTTCTTTTTTGCTAATCATCCTTAAAGACAACATGGGTTACACAAGAAAAACCTTTATACTGAGGAAAATGTGTCACAGACAAAAAATGCTGGATTATACTTACATTTCCATTGCTAGTAAGAACTGGAGTAGACGTGGGGAAAACATTACTTGGGTCAACCTGCAGACATTTCTCTTCAGGATTTTTCCTCAGTGAGGTATTCTTGATAAACGGGCTTTCCATATCTTTGTTGCCAGCGGAAGAAGAAAAAGATGAAGGGTGCCCTGAGTACTTCAGAGTGGAACTGGGCTGCATTAAGTCAGGTCTGGAGGTTCCCACTCCAGGATTTGACCTCTTGAAAGAGGATGTTGGGGGCCACTGCAAAACTGCAGCTTTAGCTAAGGGTGTAACAGCAGGCTGTGTTTTTGGTCTTATTTCTGCTAAGATTTTTGTGACATTGACTTGTTGCTTTAAAGCCTTATTTTTAAAGATCGGGACAAGTCGGCGTGGCTGCTGTGTGGAGGAAGTAGAGGTGGGCTTGCTTTCAGAGTGAAGGTCTGGTGTTCGGTGTTCTGTGTGTTCCCCTGCAGCTCCCACGACATACGGGGAGCTTCTGGACTCCCTTTCCTGACTGGGTGGCATCCCCAGCACAGCATCCCTCCTGGGCTGTGGAGCTGCTCTGATAGGAAGCTGATATACAGCAGAGCTGTACTTCCCTTCAGCTGTAAGATTCACTGGTCTGATCGATAACCCCTTTAACAGAGAAGTAAAATGCCTCATGAAAAAAATGCACAGATAAGCATAAACAAGAATTATAATAATTATACTGCACAATTTTTCTTACAATGAGAGTTTTCAAATTATCTTTTTAGAAGCTCAATCTAATTTGATGTATATGTTGTATTTTGAGCAGCATTTCACAATGTGTAAGCATATCTATGACTCAGAATAAAAGAAGATAATATTTAAAGTGGAAGATCATTTCTGTTTGCAACGGTTCCACAAACTATTTTTATACTTACAACCACATTCATGTAAATTATTCTGTAAATCAATGCATATTAAAGTATATTCAATTCTCATTTCTTAACAAATTTGTGACAAAGAAGACAATTTAAACAATTTAAAATAAAAAATAGATTCAATTTTAAAATCTTACAGGCCTCACAGCCATGTTATTTAAGCTGAAAACCTGGCTTCATACCAGAAACAGCTTGATAAGGTTCTTTTGAGCTATCTACTATCTAAAAATAGATGGATTGAATGGTCTTATATTTAATCATTCTTTAAATAACTTTTTTGTCTCTGATTTTTCCTAAATCATCCTAAAAGAGAAAATGGGTTGGTATACATTTACATATACAGAATATTACTAATGCAGCAAAATTGTATCATTTAAAGCAATCTTTATTAGACAAAAAACAAAGCACTTTGGCAGAAAATGTTCCTTAATCCTCTGTGCTTTATTAATGTAAGGAAATGACCTCATAGAATAGTTATTCCAGCTGAAACATAGGGCTTATTATTTTTATGATTCCTTATAATGCTAAGTATGCATTTTCATCTCATTTTGTATTGAAACTGCAATTTTCTTTTTTAAGTGAACATGACAATTAATATTCTAATTAATTTCAACACAATTAGGTAAACACAATCAACAGATATGTTCAAGCTAATAATTATGAATTTCAGGAGAAAAGGTGGATGAATTTTAGGATCCAAAAAGGTACAGAGCAGCTGAAGCAAGGAAACACATAATGTTTTTGTCAGTTATTGTCATGAACAACAAAAGACAACACAGAACATCACAGTAACATGTAACATCACAGTCAAGGTATGGAACTAATCTGCCAAAAACAATATACTGTACAGTATGTATTGCAATCTTGGTTAAGGTTTTCTATTTTCATATTATTTATGATTTTCAGAAATACATTTTAAGGAGAGTTTTTTTTAAGGCAGTCAGATCTGGAATGTCTCAGGTACTGACAAACAAGTTTAGTTTTTACTTGCCTCACCTTTGTACTTACGTTGTTGAGGTTGCTTGTGAAATAGCAAGGTTTACTTGTCATCTGCACAGCAAAACCACAGATATTTTCCATGTTAGCCTTCAGGTCTTTAAGAAATAAGTTAAGCACCCCATCTAAATCAACTCTTGAAAAACACTGCACTGGCTGACTTCGGATGCAGCATAAAGGGTATCTAAAGCAGGAATTAAGAATAAAACATTACAGTGGATTAATGACATTTAAACCCTATATAATATTCTTGTCCATTCTGTAGATCTTTCTTTAGTACTTGGAATTTATGTTTTCTGCCCTAATCTGGCAGTACTGCCCATGAAAATGTTTATTTCCCTTACTATGTTGTTCAAATAGCTAACGACATAAAAAGGAAGCAAGAGTTTTACCATGAAGCACCAATTTAAACCACTTGTCTCTATAACTTAACAAAACAAAACTGATTTTGAGATTAATTTTCTTCTCATTCCCCTAAATGCCAAAATTCAATATTAGTAGACATTAGTACCTAGCCGATCCAGTTGTAGCCGTTTCTTTTTCACAATTCTGAACCAGCTTGACATTTGCTTGGATGTAATCATGCAGAAGTAATGCAATGCCAAACACTGGGTTATTATGCATTTTGTCTTACAAGCTTGTAAAAAGGATACGTGAACAGCCTCTCTCCTACCAGTTTGAAGTAAACATTGCAATATACTTCATTTTCCCCATTGACAGCAGGAATCTTATAGCCATACTGAAATACAAGGAAAGCAAATTAATAAAATGAAAACATGTCTATAATAAAAAATAGTACTGGCAGGTTATGTTATCACACAATGTAGACATCTCTTTCTTACCAGTATATTCCAGTGTTTCTGTATTTCTGTGTATGACTCGAATGGACACACTGATGGTAGCAGATGACTGATGCTGATGATCTGGCCCATCTTCATACTGCAAAAAAAGAAGTCTCCTATGATTCTTTAAGCTTCAACATTCATAAACATTAATGAAAAAGTGATTTATTATGTTTATAAATGTGGCTAAAAAAATAATCATTTTTATTTCTTACTGTAAATTTAAAAAGTAAAAAAGAAAAGAAAGAAAGCTATAAAAATAAAATAGCAATTTATAATAAATTAGAAAAATGTAGTTTTACAAGGACATGCTGTCATACTAACACACATTGTACATACAATAAGTAAGATGTACAGTATGGTATAGCATCCGACAGGACGAATCAGGATATGGGGAGGGACAAATCAAACTAAAGAAGGCAAGACTATGACATTTATAAGAGCAACTCTATGGGCTAACTAAAAGAAATGGTGGTAGAATATGCTGATGCTGCACATACATTATGTTCATGATAACTACACTAAGCCAGAAATTTCAATTGCTTTGCTTGTTTAGATTTTGGTTTACCTATTTTTGCATTTGGTACTTCTTTTAAAAAATACTAGATGTCAAGGCTATCGTTCCAATAACTTCAGCATACAGAGCTTCCTGTAGTCTTTAACTTCTTAATAGTTTGATCAACAGACACATGTCAAAATGACAATTTCTGACACTCAAAATTTGACACAGGCTTTATACAAATTACAACTCCCATTCAGCACTTTAAGAAATTAAAGCAACTTTTAAAACATGCCTTCTGATAGAAAGAATACAGAATACACAGAATAGACACAGAACACATGAGTTTCTTAATACAAGTCTGGGAACCACTGATGTAAAGTACCAAGACTTCTTTTACATGGAAAAGCTTCTTCCACAAAGTAGGAAGGACATTTACAGCTACTTTACTTTTTACATTTAACCCATAACATAAACACATCTTATAGTTTTTTAAAGAAAAAAAAAACATAAAAGCCAAATATCCAGGTAAGGTAACTTTTCTGACCCACAACTGAAAAAAATAATAAAAACATCTCTAATTGAATTAGAAACCCACCTTGGTAATATGTAACACCAGTTGTTAGAAATTGCATATGTCTGAATTTCAGCATCTCTGCTACTGTAGAAATTCTTCACGGCATTAGCAGAAATATCAAAGTCTTCAAGCTGTTGGTCGATTGTTGAAAACATGAAAAAACGTTTTTTTTTTTTCCTGACCATTCTAATTATCTGTTATTTGCTTCTACAACTTTAAACATCCAGAAAAAAAAAAGTTAATTTAGACAATGCATTGTACAGTATAATTATTGCTCGGAAATACACCAAAATGTGATTACTAGTGGGTCACTCTCAAGTGGCCAGGAAATGTTTGTGAATCCCTCAGGAGGATGTGTTATCTGCTACACAAATAAAAAACACACAAAGGCTGCTGTTTTCTTATAACTTTATTGTGCAGACTGCTTAAACATCTGTTTGCAGATGGCAGTTGTAAAATCAGTTTTGAAGCAAAGATAATCAATCTGAAACTTCCCATCTGCAGCAGAAAAAATGAACTTTTCCTCTTTGTCTGAGAAATTCGTGCATAGTTTTGTACAGTTGGGACCATTATACTGTTGTAGATTAATGTTTTCTATATAGCCATCAATACAAAATGAGTAGATGGAGTGAGCATAATGTTCTCTTTCTATGACAAAATAAAGAATGCAGATTTTGTATTACTAAAACCCTTGAGGTCCTACAACATCTAAAACATACAGTATCTGCTGCAACCTTTGCCTGAGTGTCTGTAAAAAGCTTTCAGTTAATAAACAGCATTGTTACTTTCTATGATATACTGTAGATATCATCAGACACAAATGTTGTTTTATTGTACCTGATCCCTGGTGGTGATATTCCTGTCTGTGCATTGCTCGATAATGAATAGGAAATTGAAATATGTTTTTACTGTGTTTCTTCCTTAGTGAAGCATTGTATTAAAAATAATTAATTTGCCATTTTCTTTTCATTCCTCTACAGACTCTTAATAATCCTTTCCTGGTCTTCTGTTGTTAGAGGACTGGGAAAAATGCATTCATTTTAAACTTCTCCCTCTCAAACTAATATCTTTTTAGACTTGTGTATACATGTCAGAATATTGTTTTAGCTTTTTTTAAATCTTAGTTGGTCTGTTTTATATATTGTGGTAAGTGCCTTCTTTACCCTCAAATTTTCTGATTTGATCCACTAAAGAATTCAGGCCAGTGCTTTGTTTTTTTTTCCTTCAGTTAGTGCTTCGATTAATTTATTACATGATTCAAGCAACAGAATTTGAAATGACAAAGCACTCGAGATAAATTAAATCCTGTTCTCAAAGATTCTGCTTTATAACTGCAGCAATTTATTCTACCATCGCAGGCTTATGAAATTTAACCTGTATTATTTTAACCCACTCACATTATGGTAGCTAAAATGTAGCAAAATGACATTAGCTTGGTGATGGTTGTGGTGGTGATGGTGTGGTAACCAGTATTGTGGTAACCTGGAAAAAGGAAGCACTGCGGTACTTGTGAAATTCACTGATGATCACAGAGTGGATGAACAGTAGCCAATATGACCATGTGACCTGCCATGGGAGAAACACTGAAGTCCACTTCTATTGTGAATAGTTGCCTATTTTGTGTCTTGTCTGTATTAGCTGTGAAATTTACTTTGCACTATTTTAATTTATTGGCTGTTCATTTCTTTTAAACCAAGCTGTTGAAGGAAGATTAGATAAGCCATGAGACCTTATCTAGTATTATGACTATTGGAGTTTATCATTTAATTTTTATAAATTATCTGTACTTAAGCAGTGTTGAGGCTGACGTAATGAATTTTAAACATATAACTGTCTTTTCTTTTCAAATCCCCCCACCAATACATTTACGTTATTATTGTTGGAAATGCATTTGAGATCTTAACTATTAATGAAAAACAGAGCATGACCTACAAAACCATCCTAATAACATACAAACTAAAACATACACTGTAACATAAAAAAATATAATTCTTTACTTTTGCTGGTGGCAGGCGAATGGATTTGGCTTCTACACATATGCAGAGCTGGGTTTCAGTGGCATTTAGTTCCATTACTGTAAAGAGAGAAAATATTGATTGATGTAACTTAATGCACCTTGGTATACAGATACCCCACTTTAGTGCTATTGGCCTTTTACTCATAACTTGCCTATTTGTAAACTTGAGAGACCAAATTTCAGCTAAATTATGGTCAAAATAATCTCCATTAACAGCACTTCTTTCTAAATGCTATAAGAACATGAAAATAGTCACAAACAAGAGGAGGCCTTTCGGCCCATTTTGCCCATCTGGTAGTTAGCAGCTAATTGATTAAAGAAGCTCATCTCGCTGTATTTTAAAACAAACCACGATATCAACCTTAATGGCTGAATGGCTGGGAACCTTGTTCCGTTTTCTCACAACCTTTTGTATAATAAGTGCTTCCTGTTATTTACTTCCACTTCCACACACAATCATCACTTCTGTCCTCTGATTGGGCATTCACTGTTTATTCTAAAGAAGTCCAAGGATGCATTTGAGGACTTTGAATACTTGGATCAAGTTTCGTAGTCTTTTATTTTCTGTAGTCTTTTTTGGTAAAAACAAAAAAGGTTTAGTTCTTACAGCCGGGCAGTGTAGGACATTTCCTTCAGCCCCAGAATGTATCTGGTTGGTCTTTTCTGAACTTATTCCAGACCAACAATATAATTTATATGACATAATGACCAAAATTCCACACAGTAGAATTTTTCCTTGCCAAAAACCTGAATGAAATACCCACTTAATATATCAGTCATTACCATTTCATTGTCTATAATCTTCTCATCAATTACCTGAATACATTTTTTTCCTTTCTTAACTGTTTCTGTTTACAGTTGTAGTGCCAAAACAATTTTTGTTTTATTTCTTTAGCATCCATTGTAATATTCCTTTCCATCTGTCTCCTTGCCTTTACCTTTACTTGCAATTCCCTGTACTCATTATCCTCAACTGGATACGGTTATTTAGAACTTTATTAGCTTTTTCTTTTCCCTTACACTTTTTCTTAATGATTTTTTATTAAAATGAAACATTTGGAATACTGTTTTTTATGTTTGATATGTTCACTCTGGGGATAAATTTGTCATCCGCTTCAAGAAGGATGTATTTGAACTGAATCCATATCTATTCACATTGAAATTCTTTTAAGCTCTGCCTCGTTCTTTCAAAGTCTGTTTTTTATTTGCACTCAACCTGCATAGTTTCAAAATAAACTCTAAAGCATAATATATTATGATCATAGTTCCTAAATTTTCTCCCACCTCTGTTTGCCTCACTCTATCATGATTGTTTGAAAGCTTAATTGTTTTCTAGGTAGGAAGTTGTGATGACTGCCTATAAATAACAACATTTTTAAAGATGTCAAACAGCCATTCTGTATATTTTCATTTCAGCAGCTTATAGTGTTTTTAAATCTGACAAAATAACTTACCTACAGCATTAAGCCTCCCACTTTCTGTTAAAAAATCTGTTCCTGGAAAAAAAGAAAAAAGCAATGAGTGTTTATTTTTAATCGAGATGGAGATTAACATTTCAAATTGGCTATGTTGAAATACTGACTTTGTTTTAGGAATATTCAATGAATAATCAAGCTGGTTTGGATGACAGCTACCGTACAGTGGAAGGGAATATTGGTTTGCAAAGTTAACTTAGGAAGATTTTTGCTGTTTAGAAATTTATAAGAAAAACAAGACATCTTCTACACTAATGATCTCAGTGGAAATAAAGCAGTGATTCAATTCAGATTCAGGCAATTGTACGTCACACTTTTCCCATTAATTTAACCACAACAAGGAAAGTAAACACATAAAAATCACTTGATGAGCAAATCCTTCTTAGTGCCCTTGCCCAGTAAGACATAGAATCAACATTAAAGGTTGATCTGCATATGGAAAATTAATTCACTGTTGCCAATCAGAGGCCTATAGAATTCATGTCTAGATTCTGAGGCTGCCGCAGAAAAAACTGAGGTAGGTTTTGGTACAATTGCAGGGTTAACTTTTGAATGAGGAACAGAAAAGGATACACTTCTATTTTTGACAGCAACTTCTGGCCGATGTTTCTTTAGGATCCAATTCAGTCTGCCACGTGGACAAGTGGAATGCCAAACTTACAAAGAGAATAGATACTAAATAGTATTTCAAAAAATTTTAACATGATTGAAGAAACATCAGATAGAGGAACAAGTAAAAGGTTATTCCAGGATGAAAAGAAAAGAGATGACTGACACTTGTAGAAGACTCCACAGCCAAAATGTTATATATTTTCTTTTCAGCATGGAATAATCCTTTACATGTTCCCTTGCAACCTACGCTTGCTGATGCTGCTACCTACTTGAACTACATTAGTAAGAGGTTTGTTAAAATACAGAGATATACTTATGTGTATTTAGATGTGGTTCCCACTTTGAAATACTTAGCTGTTAAAGCATGTGCACATGCACTCAATATGAACTGAACAGGAAAATGTGGCAATTGCATGTGAATTGCAAATATTGTAAAGCATTACATAAAACACTTTTTATAACTATAATTATAATAATTATGGCATTATTATTTTACCAAGGATATGTTCAAAAACTCTCATTTTATCTAAATGCCATTTACCTGTGCTGTTTAGCATGCCCTAGTTACAGTAGTAATACACTTGTCATTGCTCCAATATATTAGTACAGTATTTCAGTTACAAATAGCATTGTAAACTGCCCTCCGGAACCTTTTGATTAAAATGTTGCGCACTGAGTTAATAAACAAACAATACCAAAAGGAAGCTATGGCATAAGAACTATTGAACTATATGGAAAATAGCACAGACGCTGGTGCAGGATAAGAGAAAATGTTCTGGAAGTTAATTTTTTTTTAAAGTTTTGTTCTTTTAGAGACTTTAAAAATGACGCATTATTAAACTATTTCACTGGTTTCTTTTTCAGAGCATACAATCACAATTCTGCCACCATGTGGCAAAAGCAGCTAATCCAGGCCCTATACAAATGCTATACAAAAGAGAAACTGCCTGTTTTTTAAACTACACATAATATCTTGAAAGTTTCTATCAAATCAATGAATTGGGCAGGGCCTAACATCCAGAAAATTAAGAAAGGTTACTATTAATATCTAATTGATCTGTGTGCAATGTTTGAAAATGTTGAATATTTGAATCAAGTCACCTTATATACTGTATACTGCCATAATAAACTGCTTATTGTACACAACACTAATATCAATGAAACTAATATTTCACAAATTTATAAGGATATCAGCCAATTTTACACATGTATATGCTGTTATCAAACCTATTTTCTACATTCCAAATTGTGACAAAGGAAAGTGTTGAAGAATGTCATGCCACAGATACCTTGAAGTGCATGTGGAAAGTGAAGACCCAAAATATTCACAAGATAACATCCAGTAACTGTAGTATTTATGACAATACTTTAAGCCACCATACAATCACAACATGATAATTTCTGTACTAATACTGAATGCAAAACAACAATGTTGTTTGTCTTCTCTTTACATATATTAAAAATTGCAAAATACATTCTCTCACTTTCTTCACTGAACCTCTTCATCTGAACCTTAGCCAAACTATCTAGAGGCCCGGATTGTAGCTTTATCCCTTCTGACAGGAAAGGACTGATCCTGACAGGACTAATCAGGAGTGTGCCCAACCTATGTCCTTGGCAGAACGTAAATTAACAAGGAAGGAGGTCTTGGCAAATTTCTTATTTGCGCACTGTGCACAAATGGTCATCATTGTGAAGCGCATGCTGAACAGCACAGGTAAGCAATTCACTAACTGGTCAGTTCATGACTAGGGGACACATCAAATAAATCCAACCAGTACAGTAAAAGACAAATGCAAAAACCTAGAATATTGTTTGTTTGCTTTCTAGTCTTAAATCTTACTGTTTATTTTAATATCTAGTTAATGGAGGTTTTGAAAATACGTAAATTATCTAAGACAGAAAATTAAGGCATGATTCTGAATATTGCCAGCTTCTTTTCACTATATGACATGTTCTTTAATTTCAGCATTACTGATGCAAAAGCAAAAAATTATAAGTAGAGTTAAATATAAGTTTATCTATTATAAAACACGCAGTGCATATTTGACAATATTCACAAAATATAATGAATGGCTATTTTTCCTAATGATCACACTAAGAGTTATTGTTTCCTACACAGTTCAAGGACAATGACCTTGATTTCTTCTTCTCTTTTTGACCTATAGTTCAATGGCCATGCTCATATTTCTTTGGCTTTTTTTTTAACCAAGGACATAAAAAACTGGAAGTAGGAAAAATCATAAATAAGTCCCAGTAAAATGCTCACTCTGACACAGAAATAGAACAGTGCAAGGGAGTTTCTTGAAGCTTCACTGGAATTTCCTTAACTCTAGAAAAGCTGTTAAAACAACAGTAGTACTGACTGCAGATGTATCTGTATTTCCTGTTTACATATTTTAAGTAGAACACTGAGTACTTTCTAAGTTAGCAAAGCCACAGGCAGTGTTTTCATGTTACAATACCTGCAATGAGAAACTGCCCTGCCTTATTCCACTCTGGAGCCATTTTAGCAGTCAAGGTATATGAAAGACAAGCCTTCAAAATAGCAGGCAGGACTCTACGTGGGGTACCCATCTATCAAAAGACATTGGAAAACCTGTAAACAGAATATTCTTGCAATGTATACATATACAGTATGTGTATATATAAATGTATATATATATTTATATCTTATAATCTTATTTACATCCTGTTTTAGATTTTCTAATTCATCTTTTCCCCTGGATTCAGAGTGAAAAATTCCAGATTCACTTCACTGCTGCCTCCCTTCAAATTACCGCTTGTCCAGGTTTTCTTGCTAAGTCCAATCAATAAATTAACCTGGACCAGTATGGAGTATGACATTTTGTACTAGTGAATAAAATCAATATGTAGGACATTAAATGCACAGATGCTGAATTATTGTGTTGTATACCTTTATGGTAATAATATCTTGAGTTCTTAAAGGCCTCAAAACATAAATGTCTATGCAAGTTTACATATTTATATAAAAGAAAAAATAAATTGAGACAAACACACTAATTCCTATAATGCATATTTCAGTTCACTATTCCAAAATATTAAAAACATTTTTTAACAAAAGATTTTTTGCCTAATAGACAAGACTTTATAGATACTTGAACTCTTAATAAATTATAAAGTTAAACTTTATCTTGACTGAACATAAAGAACATCTTTTTATCTAAGTAAAAGGTACTGTTAATATAACCAGAGCAAGCTCCTAATGTTATTGTGCTGAACTACTGTTATTTAACTAATTAACTACTGATAATACATGCATAAAAACTCTCCTTCAATAATTAATTTGTGTATTTGAGAAAGAAAACTATACTACATAAGAATTCAAATAAATTGTAAAAAAATGCAGCTTTAAAAGCTTTAGCTACAGTGCTCAGTTTATTCCAATTTCTCCTCATCAAGTAAAATTCTACTTAATGGCTAACAGAAAAGAAATGTATTACCTTTATTTCTCTTTTGCACATCTTATTTTATCTGGTTCTATGTGAGCTTTAACAGTTTATATTTACTTTATATTTTACTTACACTTAATTTATGAAGAAGTTTTACTTTGTTTTACTTTGGATTAAGGTCCAGTCAATGAAATAAAAATGTACTGTAATGAAATACTTTTTAGATTTTTATTTTCCGGGAAAACTAAACTTTGAACAGTCTGGAAAACATGCCCCCTATTGTTTTGAAAATTAAAGAATTTTTTACTAAAGCCTGAAAGAAATAAGCACAACATTGTCTGTGTTAGATCATGTTATCCAAAAACAACAAATAAAAATAACATGAAGCAAGACTTAATGTGAAGTCCATATGTGAATGATCCATTAAAAACGCCTTCACAGCTGGGAAAACCATTTTTTCATCACAGTCACTGAGCTCATCCACATAAGGTTAAGTACAGTATTAATTTAAAACAAAACATGAAAGATTCTTACCTGTAGACTGTGCCTCTGAGTGTAGGCTTGGATTATTCCAGTTTTGAAAAAGGTTATCTGTTAAACACATTTACTGGTAATTTAACTACATTTAATCACAAGAACTGAATATAGGAAAAGCAATGTTATGAAATGCTTAATTCATAAGGCTTTGTTTTGTCTGAGCTAATTGAAATGGTTGTTTTTCAATTTGTTACGAGTTTTACCTCTCATCATCATAGGCAAGCAAAAATATTACAAGTGACTTAAGCTAAGAAGAATAATTTTTACATCACATATAGATATGTGACAGGCAGATTGGGTGGACAGATTGATGGATGGATTGTGGGCTATGAATAAATTATCTCATAATTAGGATTACTTTACTTGTACTCCTCTAACCCCTTTGCTTAAGATATATATACTGTAATTTCCTGGGGTATCAACATCAGATTTTGTCAAGCTTATGGTGTGACATTAAAACAGCACACTTACAGCCATTATCACTGTGATTTCACCAAAGGAGTCTAATACAGGAGAGGCAAGGAGTTCTGGACAGAGGAATAAAAGCTCTCTAAAAAGGGACATAAGAATTAATAAATTAAATACACAATTCATCATGTCTTAAGCCTATTTATTAAAAAAAAAACAGATAGGAAAAAAAACATTTGTTTAAGTCTTTCTATAGAAAGATGTGTGCAATAAGCATCTGCTGCCTTTTCACACTCCAACTAATTTATCTTTAATTATCTTCATGTCTTCAGCCAAAAACAAAGACTAAGAACCATTTGCTCCAGAACCAGACAAGATACCATTCCTCTATAGAAGAAAATACCACAGAATAAACTTCAGAAATTGTTTTTATTTACTGAACCTATACCATAACAGGCTGACAGACATAATGAATTACAAAACCCATAGGAATGGAAAGACAAATTTTGCATCATGTAAGGCTAACTAGAAACAAAGCTGTCAGCATGCTTAATTCAATATACTGAATTTACAAAGTACTGTAAGTGATGTAGTTTACTTCAATCAATCCAGGTTTTTATGCTCATTTCATGATCTGAAAACTTTGCACAAGGGAGACTACAGAATAAAGAAGGTTAAATCAGAAATATATATAAATGACTTGAAAGCAAAAAGTTAAGGACCTGCATATTCTGATCTGATTGTTTCTGGTTTCCCCATCGTCAGGGTCACAGAGCTGAGATATGTTTACACTACACAGCTTTCGAAGGTCAGGCAAAGTGATAAAGAATAAGGACTGCACATTACTTCTGCTCATGGTCCCCTGAAAGAAAGTGCAACATCAGAAAAAGACATGTTTTAATGAAAACAAAAGATAATGCACTTCAAAAGCTAAAAGGCGATACATGTCTTCAGGAAAAACATCATATACTTTAGAAAAATCTAAATCAAGGTCCATTGTTTTAAAGAGAGTTGCAAAAATTCTGTAGTTTTGCTCTTTTAATTACAGTTTCAAGTCACAGTTTAACAATCGCTATAAATCTGTGATGTAGTGAATGTTTCAATGTGCAAGTCACCTTCCTCAAACTCTTTCAAATCTAGACTCAAAACCTTCTTCTTTAGAAGAGCCTTTACTCAACTGGTTCTGTTATTAACCCCCTCTGCTCCTACTGTATTCATTACACCCAACCGCTGTCTCATCTCATTGTGTATTTTCATATTTCATATCTTGTGTATTTTTGTGTTCTTGTGTTGTTCTGTAAAGTACTTTGAGAAGCCACCTTTAAGGGTGCTATATAAAATAAAGTATATTATTATTATTAAATTGATTTCATGTTTATTTGGTCTGAAACCATGTAAAATGCAGAAATTTACTTATTTAGCTGGTGTCTGGGATCTGGGACTCATGAGTGCAGCTGGTTCATCATGATTTTTCAGCCTGAAGGTTTTTAAATAGGTGCTGTGAGCCCTGTTTTCTTTCCTCTGTGTCTCCCGTGGTAGCTGCTTTTCTTTTATAGTAAGAAACTACAGTTCAACTGGGACCTTCTGAGTTCTGGGCAGTCCACAGAGAAAATCTGTGCCCTCACAGCATTTCTAGTAATATGCTGTGTTTACTGGATAAACGTTTTAGTCTTGCTGTTTGTGCTACTGTACTTTAATGTGACTATAAAATTGCCTAATTATGAATCGGAACACTATTTAAAGGCTACAAAGTTTTTAATTTCAAAGGGTCTCCATTAATTTATATTAAGAACAGCTTGTGTTTATTTTATGGATTTATTTATGCTCAAAAAAGCCATATTACATACATTTTTAAAAAACTATTACACGTTAAATAAAACCACTATACAATACCTCAAGCAACGTGATTAACTTGGTCTTTGTATCCACCGAGGCACTGATTTATGAATCGAAACCTGACGCTTAAACAAAATAACTAGGACAGTTATTATTCAAATTATCCCACAGCAGGTTTTTTTACATAAGCAAAATACCTGATACCCTAACCTACCAAACTGAGGGCTTCAGTGTAGGTTTGCGTATTCTAAAATATTCTAAAAAAAGTTTTAGAGCTGCAAAAGAGGTGAAATTCTGGTTTTACTAAGAAGACAGCCGTACGTATTTTCGCTGAACTTTACGTAAGAATGAGACGTGTTTAAAATAAAGCTACCCGACAACCAGTCTTCCTCACCTCACAAAAGACTACAAGTTTGACTTTCTTGACTAGAAATACCGCTTCTTCCTCACAGAGAGAAGCTGCGCAGTTTGTAGAACTGGGCACGTGGTGCGCCGCCTCGTGCAGGAACTGGACTGGAATAGCGTTTTAAATTAAGAGTTTGACTTAAAACAAACACTGAATGTGCAACTTGGCTGTAAAAACTATTTGTTTGTAATCTTTCTTTGGAAGTTCCAGCGTGTACAAAAGAGAATTGCAAAGGACACGGCGAAAGCGAATTTTCTTTTCACATGGGAAACCTAAGCATGGTTATTCTATTCGTCAGGAGGTGATTTTATTTATGTACACTGATAAAGTCATTACCTCGCAAGGATCTTCATCTTTTCGTATTTCATACTATATGTACAAGGCTAAAGGCATGAATAGTACCATAGTAAGAACTGACCAAATTTACGCAAAGTGTAGTTTCACCAGCCACGCTGCTGAATCCAGTCAGGTGGAATTATGGAAGACCATATCGTATAACATCCTCGGATCAATTAAAGACCAGATGGGCAAATCCATGCAATCAGAGGGTGAACACTCGTAAGGAGTAGTCAAGTAGTGGGGTGACAAGTATTACCCTGTAGCAGTGGTGAGTAATCTCTTAACCCACTTGATGTCACAAAGCCCCTCTTAGGAGGAGAGATACATCTGGGTATTCCTCTTGGCAGAATTGGGGAATGTTATTCTAGCTACTATAACTGGGTCTGTTGATAGTGAGACAGATTCTGTTCAAATATTCTCTTTTGGTGCTAAAAAGGAAAGGACAAACTCTTTTATTTTTACACATGAGGCCTTACGGTTCTAGTTTCTTCACTCTCAGGACCACAAAAAAGGTTGGCCATTTTCTGTGAATATATAGAAATTAAGGTTTTAGTGAGTTTGTAGGACGTTTTAGACAAATTTAGCCAAAGGGTGCCCCTTGTGTTTTAGACAGAATAAGAGGGGAAGCACACACTCTGGTCTGTTTCTGCTCCCCAGTTGTACATGTCTGGGCACGCAACTTCAAAATTCAAACTAGAGATGTGCAAATAGATAGCAGTATTTTGAGTAGACCTGCCCACATTACTATACACAGTTTAAGCATTATTACTGATTGCCTTTTCTAATGATCTCTGTTCCCTGGAGCACCTAATCTCTTGTAATTACTGATTTTCAGTAATTATTGTACTATTGTATTCCAGCAGATTGTGTACTTTGAAGTTTTAATTCTCAATTAAATTAATCTGATTTAAAATTATTTTAATTTGGTATACTTTAGCCTTAATTTTCCTCTGGTATTAATTCCTGTTTTTTTTTTACAATTTGTATATGTTTGATTATGTATTTGCACCACCATTAAATAACCTCACAGCTGACTTTCATTACATAAACAAATACAAACAGATACCCTACACTGGCCAAAGTGAAGGATATACCTGAAGTGTAGGTTAGCATATTCCAAAATACATTTATTCTTATTCCATCTTTGGGGCTGTAAAAGAGATGAAATTCTGTTGTTACTATGACCAAACCCAGACATGATCTCAATTCAGTTCCAAACCACCCATAAATAAATGTTACACAAACAGATTTGATCAGCCTGAAAACTAAATATTTCACAGCTGCATTGTAAGTGATATTGCAGCAGGAATGCAACTTGATTACAAAAGATTTACGACGATTTAATAGAGAGAAGGACCCTGGGGAGGTTCACTGCTGACCCTGAAACTTTGCCGAGTTGAGCTGTAGCAGCTATGGGGAAATGAGTCAGAAATAAAGCACTTGCTGACTTTAGTGTAAGGTAGAATGTAATTGCTGTTCTTGGCAGGTTTAAATTGTGTAGAACTTTGAAATATCTTGCTGAAAAAGGCTGTTCTCGCTGATTTATTTTACTATATGTATAAGTTGTGCATAGTCTCCTTAATTAGGTTGTTTATTTATTAGTTTAATGATGTAGAATGCAAAGCCAATTCTGTTATCATACAGTATAAAGACATTAAAAAAATGTGGCTGTTGTAAAAATAGAGGCAGATACAGGTCAAGTTATAAGCAATGGGTAGTGTACTTTTGTGGTTCACTAGTTTCTCTGAACAATCAAACCTACAAATGTATATAGCTCTTAAGATTAATAAATACCATTGCTTTCCACTGCCAGTTAAAGTTGTCTGCTACACATTCTAGAGACCTTGAGTTTAAGTCTTGACGTACTGTGAACCCTACACATTTAATATAAAAGAATAACTGTTCTTAAAATATGATTATTTGTTGTAACAATGGGTTTGTAAACGTTGTTAAAACTTTATATACTATAAAACAATATAATAAATACATATATACTATAATACAATATAATAACTAACATGCAAATCAGCGGCAAATAGATCTGGACGTTGAAATGCAGTGTGTAAATAACTGAAAAGGAGAGGTTTTTTATGTTGCTTGCAAGGTTTACATAGTTGATGGTCAGTTTTTTCGGGAAAAAAAATCCTTTTGTTAAGAAATAATTTAAAGATTGTTTTACATAATTTAAACCTTGCATGGATATAAACATTTCCTTCTTTTGAAGTAGTACAGACATATTAAGTACTCTGTATTTGTCTTGGGAGATATTGATTTCAAAGAAGGAAAACCTGCAGGTAGTTTTTTGCCTGCGGGGAAACTTCACAACGGGGGCGGAATCGTTTCGTGACAACAGCCTTATTTGCGTGCAAATAACACTAAACACCTCCTTCCCAGTGGAACCGTGTGTACTCTATGCTGGTCACGCGCGAGCCCTTGAAACGCGTGTCGGCGGGCGTAGAGGCAGGTCTGGGGGCCAATCAACGTCAGCTGGACAGTTATTGGCCAATCGTGGGACGAACCGAAGACGCCGGGGGCGGGACTCCAGGGCGCCTCTAGGAAGTTCAGTGCGGAGTGCGGAGACGGCGCAGCATTGCTGACCGGCTGCGGTCGAGGAGAGTGTGGCGAGATATTAAGCCTTAAATAATATAAAAATGGAAGGAAAGAAGGAAAACGGGAAAGAAGTGAAATACTTTCGTCTGGAAGAAGTGGAGCAACAAAATTCCTCCAAGAGCACTTGGATTATTCTACATCATAAAATTTACGATGTCACTAAATTTCTGGAAGAGGTGAGGAGATCAATAAAAAAGTTTTTTTTTTATGAATCAGGGGTGGTTTAAAAGCAGTGGCTTCTCAGAATCACAATTCTATGCACGCATAGGGTAACACAAGAACAGGTATTCCTGCACATCAGTGTAGCAACTTGGACACGAGCTTCAACTTGTGCATCCTTTCAATTGATCATATAGTCTTTATTGACTCAGATGGGAAATTAGTCGAAAAAAGATTTCGAAGTCTCCGGTGATCTTTAAATTGTTTAAATTGACTGTGAGTACTGCAAACTGCAATGCAGGTCCTTGAACTTCAGTGATTTTGGTTTGAAAAGTCACTCTTTTTTCGTGGTCCCAGTTATTGAATGTTGTAAGTAGACTAACGTCTGGTTGCTTCTACAACTCCGAATCTGTTTGGCTTGATATTTTTATGAAAACTATGTAGAATTTAGTTTTAGTCCCGTGAACTATTTCAGATATCGATGAAAAGGTCCCTAAAACAGTTTTATGTAAAAGCAGATTCTTTGTTAAAATGCGAAATTAATCCGTGAATGTTTAAATAGTAAAAACGAAAAGAGACCCCCCCCCCTACTTTTACGATTTAGTTCGGGCAGCTTCATTCTACTTTTAAAATTGCGATTTTGGTGTATTCAGACTCGCGTCTCTTATTCAGTTTGAACAAATCTTAAAACCCCTGAAATATTTTAATAGCTTTGCTAAATGGCAGTTAAGATTAATGATTAATAAGTTGACTTTAACAAAGCAAATTGAATTCTCCTTTGGTACAGTTTTCTGAACTTTGCACTATGAAGTGGGCCAGATGTTAAATACCGACTCGCTGCAAAAGAGCCTTTTCATTTGCGCTAGAAATACTACACACCCTGACAAAGAAGCGACAGACATCTGAGTGTAAACTTGTGAATGAACGTAAAATAGTCACGAGACGATAGGAGATATCTTTACGAGACACGTTTCAGTGGCTAGCTACAAAGTTTCAATTTCCTTTCCTTTTTTTCTAACTTTATTACACTCGTTTTTTTTGGCTACGACATTCTCCCGACGATGTGCAGTAAGAGACAAGATCTTTCATGAAATACTGTGTTCTTAAAATTTGTTTTGAAGAAGATCCATTTCCTTCGGGTTAACAGGTTGGCGAATTTGTTTTGTGTGGTTCGAAAAGATTCACGTTACTTGGGACCCTCAGTTGATCAACACCATAGTCTGCTTGGAAGAATGGTTATATAGCGAAGTGGCTCACCGCGGTGTCAGATATTGTCATTTAGTTTTGGTCAGTGAATTTAGAGGCCGCTGATATTAGGACTTAGAACGTCATCAACTAGGATTTCGAGTTCATGAACTCTAAGCCAGCCTCATGACGTCACACAGCGGTAGGATGAGGGAATGAAACAGAAAATGGTCACCATCTGTTATTCTGCACGCCTTAACAGGTCAATATTATAATTTAAATACATCAGTTATCATAAACGTATTAAATTAAATTTCCTTTTTTTTATTCTTGCTAGCTCTTGAGCTCTCTTAAAGAATATGGGATAAGTTTGACATAATGTGCTGTGGGAAATGATTCAAACTGAATGTATTTAGTGTTTTGTTTCATTTCAGTGTGTCCAGCTGGTTTCTTGAATGCCAGATTCAACACATGAACTTTAAATAGCAAGTGAAGAAAGTAGTTAAAAAGGTTTTAATTTATTTATCACAATACTTTAATAATTCACTTACTTGGTGTCTATTCTGTAGTGTACTTTAGAGCTACTTGTTGATAAGTTAGTTGAGAATAGAATGTTCTGTTTTTTTTATAAAAAGGAACAACTTTTTATTTAAGCCACTGGCAGCCAAAGATACTGCTCTGAGGCTTTGGTCTGTGTTTTATTTACCCAGTGTAATGCAGAAAGTACTGAATTTACCTCTTTTGAATGAGCGTGGAATTATACTAATTCATGTGGTTATGTTTTTTTGTCTTCTGACATCTGAGATGAATTCCATGCAGCATCTTCTATTACCTGGTGTGTGTTAGTGCAGTTGTATGCCAATGTTCTGCATAACCCCTTGCCTTTATTGGAATATGGCCAAGTACACAAGAGATAGCTCTTGACCCACAATCTTAAAGTGCTGACTGCTAGTGCCACTTGCTTTTGCTCACAGTGACTCTGGACAGTCAACGCCCTAGGGACTCAACCAATAATAGCACCTGTTCAGCAGGTAGAAGTTAGCTCTCCCCTGATCCAGCTGAAAGATTGTCTGATCGTTTTATTACCATTGTCCTTCTATTAATGAAAGAGGGTTTCCTACCTTTAAAGTAATTTCCTCTGGTCTTTCAAGAGATTATAGTGGCATTGTATAAAAACCCTTACAGGATATTATATATTGCAGAACCCTGTAATAAAAAAATAAGCATCTTGTGAAATTCATTATTCCCTATCTAAAGCATTTGGAGCAGCAGTTTCAGCTTTCTGCAGGAGCGTGTGCTTTAGGTTTTGAAAGATGGTCAGATCCACGCTGCTGACTGTATGTTCTCTGTGATGTGCTCTTTAGCATGTAACTGCAGTCTCTGTATCTTGCCTGTTGTAATGTTGTAGGGGTGCATTCACTGTTTAAGACATGGGGTGTTATAAAAACATTGGATCAATGTATGTTCTCCTTTTCACCACCTGGTTCTGAGAAGCGATTCTGAGGTGGTTTTGTCAGTGACTTCTGCCAAGGCCGTGATTTTACAGAGACCTGCCCCGTTCAGATTTTCAGTCTTTTTTTTTTTTCCAGAGCTTTTTCAGAGTTTTCTTTTTTCCCCCTCTAGCACCCAGGTGGTGAAGAAGTTCTGCGGGAGCAGGCAGGGGGCAACGCCACAGAGAGCTTTGAAGACATAGGCCATTCTTCGGACGCCAGAGCTATCGCCAGCACATACGTCATTGGCGAACTCCATCCCGTAAGGATCCCGTTTCACAGTCAAGCGCACAGTTCTTCTTGACGAGACGCTGCAGTATGGTCAACGCCTTCTTCCAGACCTGCAGCACCCATCACTCAGAGGCTTAAGATCTGCCCGTGGGCTACTTTGTTCAAATTAATTACATGTATAATTAGACCTTCTGTAGCCTGGCATTCATTCGTAACTCAGGGGCCCATAATATCCTGAGTATGATCAGATAATGCGTACCACTGTATTCTAAATATACTGAAACTTGACAAAAAGACAAGACAAGACTTTTTACTTGTAACAACAGCAAAATTGCAAAATTTATTATCGGTAAAATCTTTCTTAACATGCATATCTTGAGCCAATTCGTTATGCTGATTCACCTTTGTCATCAACATAATGTCCGTGGTAAAATTCACAGGTAAATAGCTTGTCAGGTGATCATTGGAAGTAATACACGCTGTACAGGGCATACTTGCATCAACGTCCCATTCCTTTCCGAGAGACTGGCCAAACATGGGCCTGTTCACTAATCTTTAAGCCCTAGATGCCCCTCTTTGATCCATCACATCCCACGATGTTCAATGTTCGAGTAGGGCAAATTGAGCCAATGTGACACTTCTTAAAAAAGCTGTTGTGTGATACCTTAGCAAGGGCCGCAAGTGAGGTGAAAGGACTGCAAAGCGGTCAAGAGCAGTGGGTTGTGCAGAGTAAACATTTCTGCTCAGAACATCATCACACTTCTGCTTCACCAGTGATTAGTGTAGAACTAGTATATTAAGTCTGTTGCATTTTCAGGTGTCAATAAGAAATATCTACAGAAAACCTTGGTTCTTTATTTTTCTATAGATTACCTTAGATTACCTCATCTTAAACCTCTAGTAACATAATGTGATGAAAATGAAGATGAAGTGTGCAAGTAAATGTAGTAATTATAGTTATACCATATAGGAGTTAGAACTGGAAACAGTGTACATGAATTCAAACAAATACAATAATTGCAATAGCATATATTGAAATAGAGACAAGTCTGTCTTAAAGTTTAAAAGACCTGTATAAATGGGTGAGTTTTGAGGGTGGTGAAAGCATGTTTAGTCCATTAACATAAGATAAGATCACTTTATTGACCATATACAATTTCTTGTATTAGGAATTTGTCTTTTCATACCCCAACGTTCTCTCCATGAGACACACAGGCAGGGAGAAAGAAGCTTGGGGTCAGAGCGCAGGGTCAACCTAATTATTAAGGGGCTAGAGAAAGACTTGTCAATTATGTTGTATGGGCTAGTGTAGGATGTGGTGTAAAATTCATTGCGTCTTAGTAAATACAGGTTTTTTAGGGAAGGCAGTGACCTTCGTGCCAATCTCTAGTTTCATAAGGTGTGTTTAGAATATATGCACTGCTGAGCCTGATAAAAATCTCCTGGTTTTTGACAATCTCTGAAGGTAATCAGTGATAGAAGAGGCCAAATAGGAAGTAAAAGCAGTGTGGTTCGCTTGCAGTAATCTTGGCTGTTTTTGTTGTTGTTGTTGTTTGTAGGATGACAGACATAAAATTGAAAAGCCAACGGTAAGTGAACTAAAACTAAGATTTTAAACCGTTTTTTTAATAACATTTTGAGGTTGATGTATGGGGACTATAAATTCAGAGAGGCCAGAAATAGAGTAAAAACTTTCCCTTTTGTGGGGAAAGGTCTGTTTTTAGATTTGCACTATAAAATGTTTATATTTTAGTTAACAAATTGGAAATCAGGTTGTTCTCTGGGGAAAATAACTATAATTCTTATAGTTACACACACAAATAAGAGCAAAATGTATTTTCCTGTATGATCATTAATATCTCCTTTATTGTGTCTATTGCTTTGGATCCCAAAAGACTTCAAAGCACTGCCCCTGCAGGAGGGGACCTATTTATTCCCTTATTTAATTACTGTTACTGACCTTTTCAATATTATGTGGATATCCAGAATCACAATCACTTGACTCGGGAAACAGGCATCCTGGTTTATTGGCATTCCTGGGCAAGAAAAAAGGTCCTTTCACACACGCATCTCGTGCTGTAACAATACCATTTTAAAACATTGAGATTTGTTTTTTATCGGATAAGGGGGAGGTAGTATTTATTGCGGAAAATGTGAAAAGCCAGTAATGACTATTGTTCCTCTGTAAGGAAACTTCAGTCCCTTCAAGGGGAAACAATAGTAATGGTTATTTCAGGTCTGAGGCAGAGAGTCTGTGATTTTTTTAAAAGTCTGCGTGCACTCTGGACACTCATGGAGAGTCACAGCTCTGCACACTTCAATCACAGAGTAGATAAGTGTACCTTCACCTTTTCGGTATTGTGTTTTGCTGAAGATTACCCACTGATAAAGATAAATAAAAACTAGAGTAGGTAAGAGTTCATTTCCTTTTATTTTACTTTGTTACATGTATTGATATCTTCTAAATTATTTGAAAATACTTCATTATCTTCCAGCTTTAATTGAGCACTGTTTTAAGTTAGCACCGCAATAATTAAACAGTATCTTCCCTCTTTTAAGTCAGAACAGTGTTAAACAATCTCTACGTTTTGTTCTTTTTCAGGAAACGTTTGTCACTACACTGAATGATAACTCAAGGTATTCTCATTTCATATTTTTTTTCGGATTTTAATTTTTATGAAAAATCTGATACATCAGGCAGCAAGGTTTGAAAACAGTGTTAATGAATACAAAATTGGACTTGCGTTGAGTTCTAATTTTTTTATGTTACCACAGACATGATAAGACTAAGACCTAAAAGGTTGCGACACCTCTTACTGGAATTTATTTTAAGTTGATGTTGCCGGTCTCCAGATAGTTCAGAGTATGTATTTGATAGATGGGTTAATGGGCTAAACAGATGTCCTGATTACAAAGAAAGGTTGAATGCAGGGCCAGGGTAATGATACATTTTAGAATTGAATTATAACGCATTTCCCTAGTTCAGTGCCACTTTAACATGCAGGCCACATTGAAAGATTTTCTCTTTGTATAACTGGTTCGAAAACATTCTTTTGTGGATGCACTTTGGTAGTGGTGGAGGGGAGTCCCCATTACCTGTAAAGCGCTTTGAGTGGAGTGTCCAGAAAAGTGCTATATAAGTGTAAGGAATTATTAATCTTTTACAGTGTATTGTACAGTCACCACAAATTCTCCAGTATTGACTGACGCTCTCATAAAGCTGTTGAGCAGCACAGGAAAATCTGCAGAATCTGAATATATACATTTATAGATGCTTTACAATAATGCTTAGGAATTAAACTGTTGAATATCTTTTTGTAATTTTTACTTTAAAAGAAATGAATATGTATAATAGTTTGAAAAGATATAGCATGAAGGTTTAGGAGTCAGTGGTATATGTTCTCTGTAAGTGGAAGGTTTTTATTTGTTTTACTCATAGTTCTGTAAAATAAATACATAATGTGGAATGAAGTTTTGCATTTTTTGACTTTGTCCTGTTGGATAAGATAAGATCAATTTATTGGCCCTTTACAATTTCTTGCATTAGGAATTCATCTTTTTGCATACCCCAGCTTGCTCTCCATGAGACTCAGACACACAGACAGGGAGAGAAGCTGGGGGTCAGAGCACAGGGTCAGCCATTTATACGGCGCCCCTGGAGCAGTTGGGGTTAAGGGCCTTGCTCAGGGGCCCAACGGAGTAGGATTCCTCTGCCGGCCACGGGATTTGAACTGGCAACCTTCTGGCCACAGGCACAGATCCTTAGCCACAGAGTCACCGCTCCGCCCCTGTTACCATAACAGAGAAATGAAACAATTGTCCTAAAGACCTTAGTAGCACAGTTTGATTGAGCACAGGAAAAGGGAATAATCATAGATTACATTTGTGTTTTTCTTAATTGTGCTTTTGCTTTACTTGGCTCTCTTGGGACCACAAGAGAATGTAATTTGAATGTAATTTTCTAAGAATTTCAAGTTCATGTTATTAATCTTTCCTTTGTTTCATTTTAGTTGGTGGACAAACTGGGTGATTCCTGCAATTGCTGCTGCCTTTGTCACTGTGATGTACCGTTTGTATGTAGCTGAGGAATAAAATTGACAAATGTGATTGCTCGCACATAACCACTAGTTTCAATTGCTGTAGTAATGTGAATGAATGGTGGAAAATCACCCGTTTGCTTCAACATTAACAAGTGCCTTTGATTCCGTTGTTTTTATCAGCAATGCACTGTATATGAAGGCATTTCTTTTCACTAAACCAGAGTTTTAAAGCCTTGGTTCTGGTGAGCTCAGATACTGTTACAGATTTTTGCTACAGCTGAGGTAATTTACTGAACTGAGCCCTTTGTTGAACTTTGTTGGAATTTAACAAGAACTATTTTATTGTTTTCTGCCCTGAACTGTTAATGATTTAAAGTTGGTTATTAAATTTTATAGCTATTTTTCAGCTACTTTTAGCAGCTGAAGCTGATGTCTAATGAATCAAATTCTTAGTTCATTTAAAGGTTTAAGGTGTAATTGAGGATTCAGTCTTATTTAGAATGAAAATCAGCAGACACTGGAGTCACCAGCGTCAGGTTTGGGAAACTCTGTTCTGGAGATATAAACATTTATGTATACAGCCACATACAAAAGTATTGTTACCCCGTTCAGAGCTCACTAACTGTAATCTACCAAGTCTGCACCCGCTGGGCAAAAGATTGACTTTAAAGTAGTGAATGGTAAATTGAGATTGCTAGTAAGATAATACATACTAGTATTTTAGCAGAAGAGGGACTTAATGTGCTGGAGGAAAAAGATTGCTACCACACGGGTCTCCAGTATTGTTATGCTCTGTTGCTGAATGAGTGCTTTGATACTCAACTTAATACTCCTGGCCTCAGTTGATCTTTTTGTAGTGTTCCATTTGTAATTCTGTAGCAAACATAGTGAACACATTTTATAAACAATGTAAAACATGCAAAAGAAATGTTTAAATCCACAAAGTTAACAAATGGCAAAGTATAATTCGGCCCAGTAATAAAACTGAAAGCTCTCAAAATGGTGAAAGCCAGCACCACATTGCTGACACACAAGAAAAACAGCATTCCTCAATTATTTTTTACCATTTTCTGCTGAAAAAGTACAATGAATAAACATCAGATGGAGGATGCCATATATTTATAATCCCAATCCCATGTGCCGCTCTCCCTGCTGTGTTCTTTTAGGTTCAATTTCAAGTTGAATAAGCAGGGAAAATGTATCCTGCAGCCCAGAACTGGATTGTGCATTAGCTCAGCCACAGGTACAGACTCAGCAGAACAGAATTCACCCGTTATCTGTACTGTTATTTACAAGGATGAATTATTGCAAACAAGCAAGTGTAATTTAACAAATATATTAAGGGTATTAATAACTTTGGATGTGACTGTGTGTAAATAAATAATGAACTATTCCTTTACCTACCTATGTACATATACAATATACATACATAGAAGTAGGTAGATGGATAGGTCATAACTTAACAAAGATTGTATTAAATTCACACTGTATTAAATGTACAAGATATAATATGTGAACGTTCTAGTTTCTCCTCAGCAGTGTAATCCACATGAATTGTTCAGTGCATGTGAAGAATGTAATCAGATTGTGACATTGCCATGCTACTGAGCTTGTTAAATCATGTCTTGCTTAACCCTTAACCGCAGTACAGTTTGTAGCATAAAAATGATACTAACAATTGAAAAGGCAGGCTATCTCTTTTTTTAAGAATATAATTATATTTGTAAAATAAATTTTCATACACATTAAGAAATGCAATAAACTGTATGTACAGTACTTGGTGCTTTTATTTTGACATTTTATTTTAAACTATTTTTTAATAACAAGCTTATCCACCTGCAACCTGCTACAAACAGGGTCTCTGCATCTCCTTACTTGACTTGGGAGAGTAATACAGGGAACAGCGTGCATCACAAAATCAAAATATAAAAGCAGAAAGGCTTACGTTTTGTGGTGGGGTGATGTAAGATGGAGTCCTGAGAAACACAAATTGAGTAGAACACATTTATTTCTCTGAATTTATTGTAGGGAACGTGTTTAACAAGACATGCCTAGTTGAAAAATAGATGGGGAACCTTAAATATTTACATGTATCTTTTGCCTTCTCCATTGTAATATTAAAGTGGTGTGTTGTGAGCTTTTTGCTGGAAAAAAAGTGTCACAAAGTTATGAAATTTGAAATGTGTGCATATCGGAATACAAACGAGTAGAGCGAATGTTTTCATGTGTAGAAAATTCCACAGTATATTCCCAGGTGTGTAATTCAGAAGTAGCAAGCATAGTGTATGCCCATGGACTGATTTAAACAGAGTTAATAAAGTCAGAAAATAAGAAGCTACAATGTTCCCTGAAGTGCTATATGTACAACTAGAGATCTCCATTTCCTTGCAAAAAACGAAGGACTGTGCTTTTTCATACTTTTGGTTTTATTGGAATGCACAGAGGGAGTAAGACATAGTGTTGATATTTAGCAGCTGGGCCTCAATGCATAAAGGACCCTAGGTGGCGAACAAGTTGAGCTTTATAGTCTAGCCATCACTATTTCAAATGTAGTCTGTACTGTAAGCAAAGTGTGACCTTTGTGACTGAACTCCACCAAAATTTGGGGCCAAATAAACTTGCCAGGCATTTGTGCACATGAAGTGCATCTGTCCCCTTCTGCTCTGGCCCCTTTACTGACTGAACTCTCACCAGGCATAAGGGACAGATGACTGAGGTGACCTATGTTTATTATGATTTAGGGAATCCAAATTGTGTGATGAAAAGCAGTGGTTATTTAAGAAAAAGAACAAATAAAATAATTGGGATCGGATTTTATAAATTAGTAAATGGAACTGCTGCCATATAACGGAATTAAAAGCAAATCTGATTGTAACTTTGGAAAAACACCAATAAAGTGCTGAGTATTTTAATTGTTTTTAAATATTTTACTCACTAATTTTCTTATACACAGTGACTGCCATCACCTGTAAATAATGGGGCTCACGGCATATGAACGCATAAAATCCCTCAATGGATGACAATTCACCGTTTTTCACTTCAGAACTTGAATGCTACATTTTGTACTCTCATAAAGTAAGCCTAAAAGTCAAGCCGAATCTATCACTGATGATAATTGTTTGTATCCTAGAGTCTATTTCAAACCACAGTTATAAACATGTCTGAAACTGTTGTTCATTATCTCAATCAATACACCTCAATTGCTGTAATTAAAATCAGCCCATTTAACTGTTATCACCTTATACTGAGCAAACATTATCACTCAAGTGTCTTTGTAATGAAAGGATGTTTTTTGTTCCTTATTGGGCTTACTATAGTTATAGTGCATTGAGAACAATAAAATGTAATTCGATCAATCCAGTTTATGAAGGTGGTGATCCTTGTACAGCAGCCTCTACATTTGATATTTCTTATGGCTGTACATTGTGAGGCTTTGCTCATTAAGAAGACCAAGCCCAATGGTTAACAATCACTTAAAGATAATCATAAAACACAAACTCACTTTATCACTGATGCTAAGCTGAAGCCTGTGTTCTCACTATCTAACCACTTGTATTTAACTCTGACTTTATGACCACAAGGTTAACTGGATAAAAAGCCATGTGAATCGGTAGCGTAATTTAGCTAGCACTAAAACAGAATAAAGTTCTTGGCGTACCACGTACTTCATTAGGCCTTTTAGTAGATTTTCTTGTAACACACACAAACCTATTCTTGCACCCTTCTCAAAAATGGCTCTTGCTGTTTAAAAATGAGACAGGCAGTTGAACTGAACTACAGATGGACACAATCTATGATAAAATGTAATTAGAACAAACATTCATCATACCTGAAGAAGGAAAAGGCAAAATGCATATCAAAACACAGATTGATCAAATCTCATCCTGATTGTCTTAGCATTAACTGAACTGAGGTCATGTGACTCACTCTTTAATAGGGGTCCATAGTAGGGATTACCCTCAGCAATGCTGGTCTCCACGTATTTAGCTGGGTGGACAGGAACAACTGGAATAAAGTACTCAGCTCACCTTGAATCCATGACCTGTTAAAGGTGACTGGTCTTATTGAATGTGCACAATCATGTACAGTATGTAAAACTAAGAGAAATATTAATTCTGGAACTCTAGAAAAGGTTATCAGCTGCAAATCTGAAAAGAGATAGATGCAGAATGTCCTGTCTTTGTCAGTTCAGTGTGTTCCACAAGCTGTTTCAGAATTCATATAGTCTTCGACCACTGTGTGTAGTTGCAGAGCATGAATGTGCTGCAGCAAGACTGGTCTCTGGAGGCGCAGGTAAAGCAGGAATAGTGACCCCCTGCAGAAAAACAGGTGAGTGTGTTTCAACGAGGCAATACTGGTCTATTGGTGGCTGGCAAGCAGTCCTCTCTGTTGGTTGGCACAGGGAGGCATCTGTTTCAAAGGAAAAGCAAAGGTCTGTAACCCAGGAATCAAACTTGAGTTTCCCAGAAGTTATGACAGGGACAGTTCTACCCTTGTTGGAATTTGATCACAACCAAACCTGGACATTGCTGGAACTGTGACGTTCAAAAAAGCCCCAAATCACCATTCCTCAGCAAAGAATTCTACTACTCCCAAAGAACAGGTCTCCCACCATGTGAGAATTCAACACTTTCCTGGTTTCAAGGGAGTTATGTCACTTTCAGTAACAGACTCTGTAGCTTTGAACCCCTTTAATATATAAATCAAATTTTGTGCATTCAAATGCCTTTGCTATTTGTACTGATATTGAGAGCAGATTTATTTTCCGTCATTAAGATCGCCATGGAGATAGAGTCAATTAGTAACCAAAAAGGTAATCTTACTCTTGTTAGTGCCTGGAGAAATTGAACTTTCTGAACAGCTTCTCTATCACAACACATAACAGTTTCTCTGAGGGTCTCCAGAAGTTGACAGAAGGTCTCTGGGGACAAGGATTTCACCTTGGCCTTTACCCATCATTTACCTAATCCCATCTCTGAATTGGCGTCATTACTCTGTTCTCCTCCCCCTGATATTGGATAAAAGGTGAGCATACCGGTACACTATGGCTCCCATCATGCAGGTTAAACTGGTGGTGGAGAAGAGTCCCCTGTCACAGAAGCCATTCCTGATTGATGCAGATGATATAATCTGGAAGTGACTGGAGAAGCACAAATGGGGAAAACACTGCTGGATCTGGACGGGACTACAGAGAGGGGGGCAGTGATGGCAGTGATCCAGTGCTTGGGGGGTGTGGCGAAGGCGTATGTGTCCGAAACACACCAAAGGGGAAATCAGGGCACAGTCCAAAATCCAATAGCCGGGAGGTCCATCTGAGACAAAGACGAGGAACAGGGAACTTGGAACCAGGAACACAGAAGTTAAAATCATAACGGAGCCAGGCGCTCCGAGCCCCGGACCCAGATGGTCAGGACGCCGGGGTGAAGCCGATGCCGTCAGGTCTCTCCTGGACCCGCTGGTAGGCGGGCTTCCGGGCGTCCATCTTCCAATGCTGAGTGCCAAGCTTCGGAGGCACGGGGTTTAAATAATACAGGAAATACCATGGACAGGTGTACATAAAAAAACTAAAATTCAGAAGGGTCGGAGTGCCGTCTAGAGGAGGGATGAGGACTGTGACATCCCCATTCCCTGTAAAGCTTTGAGTGGAGAAAAGCACTATATTATTATTATTATTATTATTATTATTATTATTATTATTATTATTATTATTATTATTACAACTACTATAACACTCCAGGAGAAAAAAAGTGCCAGGAAAGACATTAATCCCTAAAGTTGAGTTTTCCTAATGTGTTGCTCTCACAAAAACCAGTGTGGTCTGACCGTGTGTCAAAGCACTCTTCACCCAGTTCACCATGATCCGCAGGACTATCATCGGTTACTGAGGTTATCTCAGTATAAAATTCACCAGAGTCAAAATGAGCATGAGATGCCTATAGACGTGGAATAACTCTGGTGTATATTAAGACAAGAAGAAACCAGAAATGTAAGGATCTTAAAATACAGATGAGTTATGGCTTGAACAGGGAAAGGGATATTCAGCTTTCATGGGAAAACTAGTTAAAACTGAAACTAGTTAAAGAAGAAATGAGCTTAGCAAACTCATTGGTAGATCAGTGGTACTACTAAAAATGACACAAATGAAATCATGTGATCTTGGCTTCTAGATGAAAAAGTCAAGGTCGGAATAATGCAGCAGTGTCCTTTACGGCATACAATTATCATACTAGATCAATACTTGGACACTTCCCCTTTGGTGATAACTGCATTCCATTCATAAAAGCAACCTAGATCTGTGACAGATATGACCAGATTTTGTTCCAAAGAAAAAGACTTAGAAGTTACCAAACAAGAGACATGTATGGTTCAGGTTTTAATGTGGATTTTTCACTTGCTGTAGCTGTTGGTTTGGTGTGGGTTTCACCATTCAAAGCCAAACACACTCAACATTTACTATCACTGGTTATCTCCCATTGTGTCACTTTTCATGTACAGCTAGCTGGGTAATCTGGAAAATGTAGTTCCCAGGACCTATCACGATGCATTATTATACACAATGTATATCATATACAGTACATGTTTGCAAACAAACATGCATTTCTGCAACTCATGATGATTGCTAGGATTCAAACTATTATATAGTATACATACTTTAAAAAATCATAATTCTTCCAAATATCAGTAATTCTGGTATCCTGGAGGGTTTCTGCAAAATCACAACATGCAAACTGAGAATATTTTTTTAGTTTTTCATGCTGGATTAAATATACAATAGCTAAAGAATCATGAGATATGGCCTTCGTCAGATGTACTGTAGGTCCCTGCGTGCGATTGCAGTAAGTCATAACCAGGTAGTCAGTACCAGGTTTCAGCCACTAGGGGGATCCCGTGTACAGCTGCTTATGATATTTGGCTCCGAAATCATAGAAATTACCTTCAGACGTCGGCTCAATGGCTGAGTCACTGAGCTTTAGGCTGCCAACATTTTGAGACCTCCGTGTCTTATGTTGTTATTTAACCCCCTTGTCACACAACTCTGCTCATTTGGTTATCTCCACATGCTAGGTATCGATTAAAAGATTTTGAGCTTCAGTCAACTTCATGCTCTGTCCAGCTAGACCAGACAGGCACCTGTACATGATGGGTAAACGTGGATGTCAGCGTCATCAGCTGCCAAATAACGTTGCTGACCAGGCAGTTACTGTAATGGAGTTTTTAATGAGTGTTCAGGACAAGGACAACCCTCCCTTTGCCCCTTTCTTACGTAAACAGGTTTCCAATGCGTCCACCTAGCCTGTGCACTCTGAATCCCTTCCTCTGCCCCATTACTGCTCCGGTAGAAGATCCTCATTTTATTCGGTATGTCCAGTAAGAGTGGGGTTCTGAAGGTCTCGTCCTTACAGCCAAAGTGTTGAGTCAATAATCAAAATCCAATTTAATTACTTCCATTATTTTGTCTTAATTAAGGTCGTCTGAGCTACAGAACTGACGGAGTGGAGTAACATGCCTTTGGTTTATAGTAAATGCGGAAACTGTCAGTCTGTGCCAGGGCTATACTGTACAGTCCTCGTCCTGGAGAGCCGTATTTACGGATTGTTCTTGGGCTACAAGATGTACTTTAGCCCGTCATAAACCTGCAGACGGCAATGTCCAACAAATGAAATAACTTTAACAGTGTTTGACCACTAATTGTTTAGACAGTGCTGAAAGTTTAGCACAAGTAAAAACTGCAGAAACAGAAGCGCAAAATGTTTACATACATTTGAGAGTGATCCAGAGCTCAAATATAGAACAGCATTTTTAAAACAGCATTCAAAGCTTCTGTCAGTCTTTAATACTAAAAATGGGTTACACGTGGATATCCTTTAGTCATCTTAAGCAGCATTCAGGCAACAGAAAACGCAAACGTTTAGTTCTAAAAACTTTTTTTTTAAACTAGGAAAATGACAAAAACAGACGCACTCCTGGAGTGGTGGAAACGGGGTTTTGTGTTGCAAACGCAGCCACACTCATTAGCTAGCTATTAAATTAAATTTCAGCGTCAAAAGGGGGGCAAGGTTAAGAGAAGAAATCCAGATCAAGAGGTGTGTTGACTTAAATATTAGAAAACCAAAAACAAAAAGGTTAATTTGACTCTTCTGAAACATATAATTTATTCAGGGATGCCCGACTCGAATGCATTCATCATGTTACTCCTAACATACAGCCTTCAACAATTCTGGTCCCAAACTTATAAATGGTGTAATGTTTACGGCTAAAAATCAGAGATAGAATCAGTGGTTGTACGGTAGCGATTTACCAAGAATTCAAGAATACAAATGCTTGTTAAAGAATATATGAGCAAGTTTATTTTCAAAATTATGATGTGACATATTTCTTACATCACGTTTGTTAGTTTCGTACAGCACTTGAATTCGGATCCGCTGAACACACCGTGTTGTAATGAATCCTTTCCTATTAAATAGACAACATATTTACGAACACAAATTAATTGTTGTAGAATTATAAAAATATTAATAAGAAATGTCGAGTATATTTAAAGAATAATTTCCCTAGATTTAATTAAACTATTATTAAAGTTCATTAGCGACTATTGTAGAGAGCTGGACATTTTTTAGTTATTATATGAATGAACTTCTACAAGTGGTGTGATTGAAGCAAAGGACTAAAAAAAAGACGTTCTTCTTTTAAATCCTGGCTCAATCTGTAATCTCCTTGTGATTCTTGGAATGACCAGTCAAGCGCCAGATGCTATAACAATTGGTTTTCTCCTTTTGCACTCTCCTTATGTTTTAAATGTATTTACATGCTGTAAGTGCATTCTGTAATATATTTTAAATAAGCAATACAGCATGCATCAATAATAACATAAATCTAATCTCGCACTGTAATTGACGTGCTGTAGTCCGATATCAGAATGTCTAATGCTCTTGATAAGGGTCAGTCATAGCAAACCGGTGATTTGTGTGTAGTGTGTTATTCAAAATAATTAACTATATTCAACAATAGAATTTAAACAAATGTTTCTGCATGTTACTTTAGTTTGGTTATTGATGGAATGCACATATTAAGATAAATGTAATAAGGTGGCAAATTAATATGCAGTATGATATTACTGCGAAAGTGTGGACCTATGTTTGATGTGTTTTGAATGAAAAAAAAGTTAAATAAACTTTAAATATAAATGTATACAACAAATACAAGTAAATCGTTTAATACCCTAATGCCTGTTAAATGTACTTGGAATACTGGACAATTTTCCAACATTGATAAACCACCTGTGTAACAACACGTGGGAATATGGAAGCACAGCCGTACTGATTTTCCTTTTCAGTGTATGATAGACCAACATAGATTCTTCTTTCTTAGGAAACTCAGCTACTTTAAGGTAGATAAAAGGATTCTTACAGTTTTCTACAAATCATTAATTGAAAGTGTCTTAACATTCTGCTTCACTTGCTGGTGTGGCGACATGGGTAAATTAGTGAATATAAGTGGTAAAATAATCGGGAATAATCAAACCAATTTAAGTATCCTTTACAAACAAGAGGGTGACTAAGAAAGCCAAAAGCATCAGTGTGTCTCACCCCCTCCATTGCGAATTCACACTTCTCCCATTTGGGAGACGCCTCTGTGCCCCCAGGTGTAAAACCAACAGACTCAGAAAATCTTTCATTTCCACTGCAATAACACTCTTAAACAATGCAAAGTAACGACATTGTCTCTTGTTTCTTTTCTCCCGTAACACTGCTGTATTCTCTTGGTAATGTTTATTCGTCATTGTGTTGTGTTTGACTGTGCCGTAAAACAAATTTCCCCTAGGGGACAATGAAGCTTGAATTGCATTGATAGAAACTTAGTTTTTTAGTTCTTGTAGCATATTACAATTAAAATCGTGCCGCAGTATAAGTTATTTAAGTGTAGCTATTGTGTGTTTGAATTGGTAAACTGTCCTGATTTTCTTGCAGTACACGTGCACATGTTTTTTTTAGCTCAAATATAGCTAATCCACTGAAGCCCTCGTAAACCCTGTCTCTAATCTGAGTAAAGATACAAAACGCGGTCCCTGCTGTTGCAGCAATATGTCCTCATTTATATTCTGTGGCCGTGCATCCCTTTCAGCTCCTTGGCAGCCCTCTGTTCTGTGTGCCCCAGTGACACAACTCTCTCGTTGCTAATTCTATTAATTACTTAAAGATCCGCCAACTACGGCTTGCTTTTGGTGCGAAGAGCCTGTTGCTGCTGCTAAGTGCTCAGCCTGTGCAGCAGCGAGGTCGGCCACCGAGGCACCCGGCTGCGGCCAACCTATGTGTCCTTTTGTGTCTGTGGGGGAGCAAACTGAGACCCGCTGAGACCTCCCTTTCGGAGTGCTGAAGTTGGAGGTGCACTGAACAATTGAGGATTGGATATGGCGCTCATGTGACCGATTCGAGGCAGACGGCGTGTGCAGTCGGCCTGTTGGACTGCAGAGAGTTCGGGTAGAGCGGCTGTGGGTTCGTTCTGCGCGGAGCCTGAGAGAAACACCGTAGCAGCTAGAGGAACTGGTAAACCTTTCTCTGCCTTCTTATGTGACAATTTGTTTTTTCGCCCGTTGTTGATTTTAATTAACAGGATCTGCTTTCTCTGGTATAGTGATATATACTGCATATTGATTTTAGAATATGAATAGACTATTGGAATACTTAAACTGATGCTGGCACGAAATAAAATGATTTTCTTAAGACGAACTAATTCACACTATACCGTAGTAAGATTTTATATGCTGAAGATGATAGAAGCTCACACACCGGCGTGATACAGTGGTGGCAAATTTTAAATATATTCCAGCACATTGTGTTATATGTCTGTTGAACAAAATGCCCCTAGTTGGTGATGAGAATAATCTGATATAATACCTTGTCAGACCAGTCCAAAACACTAAAGAGCAGTGATTTATTGGCGTTTTATATTCCAATGGCCTCCAAACCGAGACGCCGAATATTAACGAGAAGCACGTTTATCACAATCTTAGAAAACGATCAGGTTCATATGTAATATGTTGTTTTAAATGTACGCTGATTTAACTAGAATTTAGACTAACTGGACCGTGGAAAAAAATATTTATCAATACGGAGGATATTACACCTTTCAGCCCCCTGCTCTGTTTTACACGGGTAATGCACATCACATTACTGCTTTCCATATGACTCGGTATTTTGCAACATTATGTGTATTTCATGTGAAACTCTCTATCAGCGAGATTTTGCAGGCAAGAGAAAATTGATGTTAAATAATACTGTAAAGTCCTCAACGACGAAGTTGGCTTTAGAAATTGTCTTCTAGTGTGACTCAGACCACTGAGAATGGAAATAGAGGAAAGTGAACCTCTTTGAAATTACAAATCTGCGTTGTCACTCAACACCACTTTTATTTTCCAGCCAAGAAAAACATATTTAACAAGAAGAAAGGGATGTTAAATGGTTGCCATGCTGCAAGGATGTAGCCACGTTTCAGTGCTTGTCCCCCTCATTCATCATTAAGGTAGGGTGCAAAAGGTCTTTTCACATTTTTCTGTTTACCTATTACCATTATTTTGTAATTATAAATTATTCGAGTACAAGAATTTACTCTTCAGTGTATTGTAATCATTAAGAAGTGTGACTAACTGTACTGACCGTACTATGACTAACTGTACATTGTTTCCATAGCTACAGGGGAAACACATCATTGTCTAGTGCTGTTAATTCAGGGCTGCTGTGTTCGAGTTCTTTACTGTATGTGTAAGCGGGTAGCCTTGGGTTCAGTTCCTGGTGAGTTATTTGTGTGGAGTTTGTATGTTCTCTAAGTATTTGTGTGGGTTTCCTTCAGTTTCTTCCCATAGTTCAGTACTGGTAGGTTAACTTGGCTTATGGGAAAACTGCCCCTGGTGTGAGAGTGTGTGTGTTTCTGTCTGTGCATGCCCTGTGATGGACTGGCATCCTGGCCAGGGTGTATCCTGCCTTGCGCCTGTTGCTTTGCCGGGTTAGGCACCAGCTCCCCATTAACCTTGTATTGGATAAAGTGATTAGAAAAATGGATGAATGTGTCAAAGCATTTTTTGTGTTTTATACGCACATTATCATGGTATATGGATCACTGCAGAAAAAGTTGGTGACATAACATAATTTCCTACCTGAACTACTAAGCCCATTTTAGAAAACTGTAGACTTTGTGGAAAATTGTGCTTTCCGTATGACTAACAGCTTATATTACTAATTATAAATAAAGTAATAATGCAAAGGAGGACTTGTTCTTTAAAACTATTTTATTTCCATGTGAAGATCACAATGTTTAAAGAAAACACTGGGCTCAAATATATAAACCTAATAAAAATAAAGTAAGACATCTACCATTGTAAAACATTTTAATTTGCATTAACAGTAAAGTCTGTATTGTTGGAGTTTAAAAAAAAGTCTTGGCTGTGTACAATAATAAACATGAGAAAATCTAATTAGGTAGAAACATTAACATCACAAGGGTAAACATCTTCAGGATGAATTGCACAATATTTTCCGCCCAAAAGCAATCTTAAAATCGGGGTGTATGGGCCATAACTTACATTTTATATTGGGTTGGATAATTAGGCTCATTGTTAGCACAGTGTATCCTGCAACGCACATTTCAAGAAAATACTGAAGAGATGTCACTGCTTTTGCTTGAAAAAGTGAAACGCCGCTATTTTATTTTTAAAAATGTGTGATTTTATGCTCCAGATCTTGTAAAGATAATGTGTTGATGGTGGCCACAACTACTATCAAACAGGGTGCAGGGGGAACTTGGTGACTCTTGACCCTTATCTGGTCCCAGTGAGAAATGGAGCAGTGGACTCCGAATGAAGCTCCCCACCAGGATGTGGACCTGGTGTGACCCAGTTTTCTAGCTTCAGCTGATCATGGTGCTGCCCTTGGGAGTTCCAGGAGGGTGCTTGTTCTGTGCCCACAGAGCTGCAGCAAATCCTTGTCAGGGTTACAATTCATCTATTGTTTGTTTTACATGTTGTTATTGAAAAACATATCCTTGATGTGTCGGTTGTGTTAACAATCCATAACACACACAGAACTAAAAAACATATCTGGAGGCTCAAAAACAGTTTTGTATTTCCACTTCAGTTTGGCTTTTGGCCAAGGGCAGCAATAGGTTTGTGGCACAGTCCGATAGCAAAGCAGTGTTTTATTTACTTGCTATTCTGAGCTTGTTGGTATTCCAGATTTTGTTAAATTGTAATGTTCCTGCTTGAAGACCACTACAGAGCACTGCCCTAACTAATTCTGGCCGTCCCCTCCATAATCATGGCCCTTATTACTCTCACTCAGGATTGAGCCTTCTGTCGGGTCCAGTTCACATCTGTGAATATCACTCCTGGCACCCCTCATTCAGTCTAGGCCCTGCAACAATAAAGACAAATATGGAACTACAGGCTGTTGACGCAGTCCTCCAGCTCTGTTTTAAATACATTGTTGTAGTGATATAGGATGAAGTTTAATAAAATATAAATCCTTTAATCCTTTGGAATATGTTAATTAATTCCTGTAGCTTTTGTAACAGACGTGGTACAGTTTATGTAATGAGTTAATGAGTCCGTGAATCATGAGTAACAGTATGTGTGTTCATGCACAGACTAATTATCATCATGCAGATCTACCTCAAAATTTGTTACCCCCTGGCATCAACTTAAATCATATTAGAAGAAACCCTAGCGGTACTTTGCTCTTGCGTTCCCTTATACTTTTAAGGCAGCACTGAAGGAGTCCTAAGTTCATCTTTGTTGCACTGCTTGTTATGCTTTTATTTTTTGAACTCTCTCATGTCCTGTTGCAATGCAATTATATGAAACAGTGAAAGGACTGCAGAGTTCCCGTTTCAAGTCATTATACAGCAGACAGTGGGGATGACGTCAAAGCTATTTGTGTTACAGCACTAGTTTGTATCTGCAACGTGTTACTAAAAGAGAAAACCAGGTGTCAGACTCTTAAAGGGAACAGATCTGTCAGCTGTAAAACAAAAAAGACCAGGTCTGATTCCCCATCTTATAAAGCAGGGCTGCAGAGCTACATTCCCATTGATACGTCCAATAATTTACCATGCTGTCACATTTGAAAAACAAAACTGCTTTCTGCTTTATAATTCTTGACAAGGTTTTCTTGGACAAGTTATGATGAAAAATCTTACATCCTGCTCAGAGTTGAATTGTGACCTAGGCTTGATTAAATGAAGAGGTTATTTTGTTTTTGGGGTCTCAACCACAGCCCAGATAATACAGTAATGTAGGGTGGTCTGTATTAGATTGCTTCTGGGAAAAGAAGTCTTTCTGATCGACAAAAGACTGACAATTATGCTTTGCATAATGAGACTTTTAAGTCTGTCCTCTATGAAGGAGCTGTCTTTTGTGTAGTTTTCCCAATTGATCCAAAGAAGAGGTTTTTAATAACGTTATGTGTTCTTATGACAAAATGTGCTTATTTTTTCAGGTCTTATTATAGCCGTCACTGTAGAAGTCAACTATTTCTCAACCAATCTAATCTGTAGAGCATTTGAAAGGAATGTTTTGATGCAGCTTCCCTGTTCTCTGTAGCCATTGAACCTCTTACTTTGCACAGGAGGCAATTTTGAGCCCTGCTACAAAGGAGGGAGGTGTTGGAGGGGGATGGGGAGCCATCTTGACATTCGTGGTTGACAGGATCTTCGGGGATGGTTAGTTTTTTAAAGCGAAATATTGGCATCAGTATTGTTCATAGCCCTGTTCACAGGACTGGGCTTCACTGCAGACTCTTATTGTTTCCATGACCCTGACATGGCCCGTGTCTCATTAGGGCGTAAATTAAATTTAAAAACAAAGCTTTATGAGAACCTTTGTGAACCCGAATTGATGTGTTTTATTATTGCCCTTAGATGACTCATATCTTGTGACAGCAACATGGAAACTGCGTCTCAGAGAGCAGAGAGCAGAGAGCATACGAACATTTACAGACGCCATTTCTGAAAACCAGATTAAAGTGTAATTAACATTCCAGGAAATGCCATGATTGATTGATGGACCGCATCTGTGGCTTGATTGTTTGATAAAGCCATGTCCTACTCATGGATAGGCCTGCACCAAATATATGCATGATATTGTATGTGAGTAGATTGTGGAGCACCTTAACTCAGCTTCACAGCACCCTCAGTGAAATTGATTAATGTCTGCAAATACAAGGCAAATCCAGAACGGGAAATGTTTTGTATAGAGAATTAACTCTAGAAAACTGGAAAAAGCTTTCAACAGGAATACAAAAGAATTACTGTAGTATAGAACTGATCAATACACAACAGTTCACCATACTATATGATCAATAAAATGTATAATATAGTAGAAAGTAATCCTTAGACACAAGTGGCCTGATTCTGACTGTGGGCAAACTACTCATTTTTAGCCATTGTCACACAGTGGTATAATAATGAAAAATATTTATGGTTTATGTTTGGTAAATAATTGGCACTAAAGTCCATTTGATAAACACATGGACACTTTTGAAACATTAATTTTAAAGTATTGAATTTTAAAGTCCTCTGAGCTGTTGACTTCAGTATCTTATTAATGAATAATTCTCTATGGATACAAACATATATATATAGTACAATAAAGTAGTAGATTGTACTGAAATAGTAGGACATACTATACTATTATATGTATTATAGTATAGTAGTTAAGTAATTATAGCAATTAAGTATTTACATCACAATCCTGTGTCTGGATCCATTTGGATACCATTTTGGAACCATCAGTATTGTTTTGCTCGTCATGGCAATTCTAAGGCTAAGAACAATAGTTTTTCGGAAGGGCAGTGACGTAGCGCTTGTAATATAATCACTTTGCATGAATGTAGCCTGAAAAAAAGGTAACAACTCATTACGATGATTAAAGCATCTGATCTGGCTATAAGATAGCCATATAATTAACTGAAGCATTAAGGTATTTAGAGGAAATTCCTGTAATTCCTTTGTTGCAGCCATGCTTCTCTAATGTCCCATCATTTCTGCATGGCAGAGCATATTCTGAGCTCAGGCAGAATATTTTTGCCCAGAATATGTAGTGCCGTTGTCTATTAGGCACCATGTGTTGCTTTCCAAAATTTCTATAGTCTTTGACCCTATTAAAATGATAAGAAAATAATTCTATTTGTGTTTGATTTACATTAAAAAGAAAAGTACTTAGGGTAGCACAGTGGCGCAATGGTTAATTTTGTTGCTTTGCTGTAGTAAGACCCTGGGTTCAGTTCCTGGGGTGCTATCTACATGTGGTTTTTATCATCTCCCCTTGTTCGCATGGTGTTCCTGCAGGTTCTCCAGTTTCTTCCCGTGGTAAAAAGAGATGCTAGGTGACTTTGGTGAAATTGGTCCTGGTGTAAGTGTGAGGCTGCGTGTGCCCTGTGATGAACTGGTGTCCCATGCAGGGTGTACAGTAGTTTGCCTTGTGCCAGTTGCTTTCTAAGTTAGGCTACAGATACCTCTGCTACTCTGCACTGGATAAGGAGGTTCATAAAATGGCTGGATGGAAAAGGACTTAATTTATGGAGTTCTCTCACTGAAAAGTAAAAATGTAGATGTGATTATTTTGCTTTGAAGTGCAATTAGGTTTTTCCTGATCTCTTATTTGTGAAAATGCACCTCACTCTTGCTATATAAAGTCAATATAGACTTAATGTACTTGGACATTTGCAGAAAAGTCTTGGAAGTGGGACCTTATTGTGAAGGAGTGGTTTAAATGTCTGTATCACAGCAAAAACACATTTAAGGATAAGCAAGAACGATACTGGTTTATTGTGTGTCACATTGGTGTAAACTTGTATAAATTGTTAGATACTCTATACAAATCATGTAGGTGTTTTTACAGAGACTGGATTGTGTGTGTACACCCAAATCCCCATTAAATTAAGGAAGAGTCAGTCCATTTCAGTACATTTGAGGTGCACGTACTGCATTAATGATTCTGATCTGGGACATTGGTAATATGCCTTTTTACAGGTGCTTTAAAAGAGATAATTATTATGCAATTGTGAATAACAGCTTAGGAACAGCAAAGCAGAGTACCACATGCTTTAATTTCAATGTAGATGCTAAGTGTCCTTTAAGAGAGGCAGGGTGAGTTGCATTTGATTTCTCTAATATGAGTGTCCACATTTGTACAGAGCGGTGTCTTGTGTAACAAGGTGACTTTCCTTACTGCTCTTCAGTGTCCTGCCTTTGTAGCACATCATAGCCAATCACAATGAAGCAGCAAGAGTAAGTAGCCAGTATCAGGATAAAAAACACGTCTTGTCAGTCCGAACTGCATAGGAGAGGACAGACAGGTGTTTATTTATGGGGCATTGGCTCCTTTCAGCTATAGCACCTTATCTGTTGCAGTACTTCCAAAATGATTGCTGCAAAGGATTTGATCTGCTATCTCAAAATGTGGATCTAATAGCTCACACTATTAATGATAAAAGAAGTGGATGATCTCTTTAAACTGAAAAATACTACAAAGTGTTTAATTTACAACTGGTATTCCATGCAAGCAATGAATTATTTATTTGATCTGAGATAAAAACAGTTTTAAGAAGGCTTTATTGGATTCTATCATTGAATATACCTGTAGTAGTAATCTTATTCTATTAGGATTATTTATTGATTATAGCCCATAGGTCTGGCATGACATTCTTTTTAATTATTTGGAAGAATGTACAGAAAGGCAGAGGTTTTGAAGAAGCAGTTTATACCATCATTGTTTCAAGTACTATTTGGTTGTCATCACTGGAATTTCATCTAAATTTCAATAGCATAAACTATAAGCAGCCTTGCTTGTATAATCTAACCCAGTTCATTTCAAACAATACAACTTATCAGGTGGTGTGTAATTTTATTTGTACAGTATGCACATGCTAAGATGAAAATGTTTTCACTTTTAATAGGCTTACAAAACGACAATACATCAAAGTGAGAATTTGTTAACCAACGATTAAAGAGGCACAAGTGCTACATTAACAGTAATGCCATGTAGAAGGTCAATTTTAAATTTCTCTGTTATAAATACTTCTTTGACCCTCTTATTTTGATTGTTTTGTCTTTTACATGTCACCGTTAATCTACAGAGAGTAGCTTTGCTAAATAATATTTTGAGAAGCATAAATGCAAACATGACCTTATCATGCTGTGGTGGCACATGTATGTCAAATACTGATTTGTTTTGTCTGGAATGAGAGACATATGGGACAGACACACCTGAAGTCAATTTGCTAAAACAATATAGCACCTAATGGATATATAGTTTTCGTGGAACAGTATCTAAACAAAAATGGCATTTCTTTTAATTGTAACACCTAGGCAGAAGTCTGCGGGCAGAGACAAACTCCTCAGCTTCACCAGTCTGTGGACTGTGTGGTAGGACTGTCCAGTACATCCATTCTCATTACCAACTTGTAGCTCCCTCGGCCAAATGAGTCAAGACCAGAATAATATCTCAAACTCATCAATGACCACTGGAGTATTCTGAGATTCTGCCAAAGAAACAGAATCCAGCATCTATTTGTAGTTCTAAAATTCCTTCTGTGTTTCTCAGTAACAATAGTAAGTTGAGAGGAAAGGTGCATTATTACAGAGACAAGAGACATGCCAAAAGTCTTACAACACCCAACACCTGGTCATATTATCAGAGAACATTGTTTGCTAGCTGACTGATTTCCTCATCACCCGCATTTTTTCTGATGTTCCGTAGATACAACAGTATCGTTGACATGAAGCCAAGACTCCTGATTTTCTGATTAATGTTTGGAACATTTTACAGAAGACTTCACATAAACAAATCGAAATGAGATGAGTAAACCCTTTGGTACAGCATGTTCTCTTTTGAAGTTATGTGCCCTTTGACTGGTGAGTGAATTTGATTCATTTGAAAGCTCTGCCCAAACCCATTGATATTTGAAAACCCTTACTTTCTTGCCTCCCTAAATGAAGTGCAAATGCATGAAGTATATGTGACATGCAGTCCTAAATGCCACTTTAGACTCCTATTTTTTTCCACTCCCTTGGATTGCACTGTGTAAAGGGTTCTACTGCGATGCCTACAGACAGGTGTTCAATACAGACACAATGTAAAAACCCTGACGTATGCCTGAAAGGCTACTTTTGTAATGCATGCTTTACACACTTGCTTCCAAGCCCATAAATTAGTCTGTTTGTGAAGCACTCTTTCCTTCCAAATGCTACATATATTCAACAACTGGGACATTTTAACAGGTTTAACATCTAGACAAGCCTTTTAGTGTAGATCATTGATACTGATAAGAGAAAACATTGGGGAAACATTAGAGAGACTTGTACAAATGTCATTAAATGTAGCTTGGATATTTTGTTTTATTATCATAAAGCTAACATGTCAAGAGCTGCCTACACTTTACCTGTGCTGCAGTTTTGGTGTTGAGTGCTTGTCAAAAGTGTCCCACATTACAGTGTTTGTACACGCAGTACTGTAACACTCTCTGTCTGCTGAGTGACGTGTATTCTATTGTTGCGTGCTAGTGTCTTTAATGAAATACTTAAAAAGGAAAGATTCAATATGAGATCAGGATGTGGGTCCCCATCGCAAATGTAAGTTGCTTTAGATAAAAAGCGTCAGTAACAGTAACAGTAATGAAAGGGGCTGATTCTAACCTACTTCTGATTCTCGTGAAAGAAGTTTTGTTTTAAATATCAGAGAACCTGTGTTTTCTACACTTTTCATTTCTGAGACTTCAACTTTATTTCCTCATGCTTTTTTAAAGTAATTTAGCAAATTCCAAGGAGAAAAATGACTTAACCTTGTAAGATTGGCAAAACTCTGTTAGTGAACAGAACATGTTTATGTGCTGAACTAATTAATACATTTTATGTGGTGCAAGTGGTGGAACAAATAGGATTAGAGAGAAACGTAGCAGTGTGAAAGAATGCAAATTCCTCTATACAGTCACCCATTGTATATTTAAAATGTAGATTAAAAAGAAAAAAAATGTATTTCTTGTATTCTTGAGAAACAAGTAAAGGTTTATTCCGTCCTGAAAAGAGACCCAACGTTTCAATTGTGGAGCCTTCTTCGGGTGTGAGGGGGAGTTAATGAAACATGGGAGAACAAAAGACAAAGTAGCAGAGAGAAGGAGGGGAGTGGGAGAGAAGGAGTACCTGCACTCCGGGAGAACTGGGAGAGAGATGTGAAGTCAAAACCTACCTACTTGAACATCTAGTCACAGTATACCACTTAAGCAAATTAGGCGAAGTAGGGCAGTGGACCAAAGTAGCACTTTCTTTAGTTAATAGAGACATGCTGTAATGGAGCTTATTAAAAGAACCTTAGAAAATTGTTGACTTTTGACGTGTTTGAAGTTCCGTGCTTTAAAATCCTCAGCCCTCTTTTGGCAAAGCCCGCCTAAATCAAGCTCATGAATAAAACAAAACTAAAACAATGAAATGAGAATCTGAGGTCATAAATGGAGATGAAGCTGGGTGCACACTGGAAATGTGCAGTGCAGGAAATGTGAAGAGCATGAAGAAAGTAAGGTGAATCCTAGTGAATTATATGTAACAAAAAAGTGTGTTTTATTTTTTATTTTTTCTACACCCACTGAAACAGCACTAACTTCCTTGTTGCAACAAGATAAAAAATACTGGTCTTTTACAAGTTACATGTGCGTCCTTCACTAACCAAGGGCTATATAAAAAGTTATGAGTTAAGCATTAAGAAACCTGATTTTGTAAATGGGAATTTTGGCTTCATGCGAAAGTTTTTTTTATAAAAGCCAAATATACTTAGGATATATACAGTTGGAAGAAGCAAGGACAGAAAAGTGATTTATTTTTAGGGGTTCAAGCAGGGAGCTGCGTCAGCAAACTCTCGCTGCAAAGGAACAAGTAAAGGTTAATTCCATACTGAAAAGTAGTTCGAAAAAACAATTTTTTGGCTGTTAAACCTTCTTCAGGTGTGATTTATTTTTTATTAACTTTCAAAACACCCTTTACGATTGTGAACGAACCATAACATTTAATTTTAAATGTCACAGCACAGTGGAATAGAAAAATCAATGTTTCACAGGACAGTCATGGGATGATATTTAGAAGCTTTTAATTAATTAAGCTTCTCTCAGAATGATCAATACTAATACATGGATAAAATTCTTATTCCAGTCTGCTGTGTATCATTTTAATTGGCCTTGAAGGAAAATTGTTACTTAGAAATCAGGCTCTGTGGTATGTTTTAAGCAACACAATTGTCTATCAGTGACCAGAATATAATTTTATTTTATGGGCATAGAAAACGATGTATAGTGTGTGTCAGTCTAAGTGAGGGGTCAAGTGAGGGTACGGTCTTTTAAGAAAATATCTAAATTGACTTTAGCCTTTAACACAGAGCTTACATTTTTACCAACTCCCCCCCCTGCATTTTCATCATTAGTAATGTGCTTTCTACTCAGAAAGTATGTATTGCTGGAAGTAGTTTATTTTTAGCTTTATATCACATCATTGCAAATTGTCCATGCCAACCACTGTGCAAGGAAGAAGAAGTATTATATATATATAATATCTTTCTTGCTCCACAATGACAGCAGTGTCATCACTAAACATGACATGCTTTTAGAAACACTAAAAATAAATAATTACAACCATGCAGGGGCATAATAGTCCCAACATTTATATAACAATTAATATTTTTAATATTTTGTACAGCTTTTATAAAAAACAGGATATCTTTGCACCAAGGAAGCCAATCAAACACTAGCAGAAAGCAGAATCGCTTAGCTCCTGCCTGTGCCTCTACAGTTCAGAAAGGCAGGGGTCATATTACTGAAAAAGAATGACACCGGACAGAAACAGACGTCACAAAAATATTTAACTTATTTGGTGTTTCATGGGACGCAGACATACAGTATATACAGTATATTAAATGCTTAATTGTTTATTTTAAAAAATGAAAAGGAAAACTGTAAGCTATAGTTTCTGTATTGCTATATTTTCTAAGAATACATCACATCCTGAAATCAAATCAAAAGTTTATTTATCAAATGCACAACAATACAGCGTGCAGCAGTAGTTGCTGGCAATTAAATGTCTTTTCTGTGAGCTCACAAAAATCACAAAATTAAGGTTACGAAAACAAGGCTACATAATAATAGATGTAATAGAAATTGAATAAAACTCAATATGTATAGAGCTGCTATGTGTCCATGGTGTATGCAATATATACAAGTAGTGTAGTATGCGGAATACAATGAAAACTGTCCATGTAGCCATTACAGGTGATTTGATAAAGGAGCTGCAGGTTGGCTATTTAGCAGTCTTATTGCCTGGAGGTAGAAGCTGTTCCGTAATCTGTTGGACTTGTACCGAATGCTTCGGTACTATTTACTGGACGGTAGGAGGGAAAACATTTTTTGACTGGGATGACTGGGGTCCTTGAGAATGGACTTGGCCTTCTTAAGAAGGTGCTAGCATTAAGCCTCTTATTAGATTTAGATGCAAAAGTTTGGTTTTCAGGCCAGTTTGTGTCAATATGGGGAAGGAAGATGTTGAGTGTGAGTTTCTTTCCTAAGCAGTATCTCGGTATCTCATGAAAACAAAAATACAGTAACCCTTCATCTGCAGGATCATCTGTGAGTACAAAAGCCAACACTCCTGTTTGGTGTGATCGGTGACCAAAGCAATAGACATAAATGAGAATGAAAATTTCATTGAATGAAAAGAGAGATAGCTTTGGGTTGCTTACTGAGATGGCAAAACGCCTTCTCAGATTTGTGAAAAGGCTTCTGCATAGAAAAGTGCAAATTCATATACTTGAGCAGATTTTCAGTGATCTTCACTCCTACCGATTGTGTACTCCATAAGATGGGACTGTACATGAGGAAACAGCAGATTTGTTTCGTCTCCGTAAAAGAAACTATTTTTCTCAGAGCTGAAATCCAAAACTCAGACTTCTCACTTCATGTTGGCGTCATTCATCTGTAAAAAACTGCAGCATGCTTTAGCTTGTGTGGCATCACAGTATTTTATCACAGTTTCCTATTATACGCACGCTGTTGCCACAGTAGAAAACCAACATAGATGAACTGCCAGATACACACTCTGCTCATCAAAATGAAAACCACAATATTTTTTTAAAGTTATCAAATAGGATTTTCATTTTCGTCCAAAAATAATTTTTCCAATTAAGAAATACAAAGCCAGGATGTAGTAAGAATCATTCCCCAATCAAGACCCCCAAGAGAGTTTGGTGAGTGCATTTTTGTTTTATATCCATTCTTGGAAACACTACAATAATACAACCAGTACTTTCACAGTAATTAATTCTGAACTATATTTTACTTTTTTTTTTACGAACAATACCTGGAGTCCCATAAAAGTATGGCATTTGAAACAACAGCGTGGTCTAGTTCTTCTTGCAATAATAAGACAATGTCTGTTAATACTTAAAAGCATAAAAATATCAAAATGTTTTAATGAACTCCAATCACTAACTTACCATTTGTTTTATGACACAATGGACTTAATCACAGTTATTTTTAACTTCTCAGTAAAAATTATAATTTATCAGTAGACAAGATTCATTTGTTTAGTCAAGAAGGGGATTAGTTAAGAATTGGCATTTTTTCAGAGGATTTGTTTTTTACTTTTTAATGATCTGTCAACTTGTATTGAATTGCTAGGCAATTGAATTTGGTCCCTGGTTCATGCAGCACTTTGTGTACCTCTGTGAGTGGATTTTTACCCTAGTCAATTCCTTGGTCTAACGAGACAAATAAGTTATTTAGAAGATTAACTTGAAGAAGCAGTTCTCCTTTACAGAATACAGTGAAAACACTTTTTACAGCAAATAATGTATCGTAACCTTCAATTTCTTCTTATTAAAA